TGGGGGGATGGGGAGGATGGGAGCAGAGGGAGGGAGAGAGGACGACAGAACACACAAGGGAGACAAGGAAGAGAGGAAGAAGGAGAAAAGGGAGAGGACAATGTCGGCGGACTGAGCCGGAGGCTCTAAAGTTTCAAATGGGCAAACGTATCTTTTCAGGAGCCCTGAACAAGCATGAGACGTCTATGGACTCAGGGGGTAAGATATAGGGTAACCAATCAACTAACCAACCAGGAGACCAGCCCTAGTTTCAAAAACAAAAAAACCGCCCTAGGCCCAAAAAAAACACATCGGATATCCGATCTGGGGTTCGCGTGTCGCGAAAAAAAGGAACGAATCGTCTGCGCCTGTTGCAGGTGCTGCAGTGCAGCTGCCGCGGCAGCTGTCCGCCGCGGCGGTGCCCGCCCTTGTCCACCGCAGGAAAGGCCTGCTGAATCGTGTGCACCTGGCCGGTTGGGCCTAGCGGCCTTGGTCGGCTTGGGGTGACGGGGGTTGCCCCGCCGAATTTTTTTGGGGACCAAAAAAACACGCCCAGAAAGGGATTTGCAATAAGCAAACAAACACACACAGAAACAGTCACACCGCACAAACACACAAACAAGCGCACAGGCAGAGATCCAACGGCGGCAGATTGGTGGTTCCAGCAATGGGAAACCAACATCAGGATATCCAACAAGTGACTTGTCCCAGGTTTCACCACTTGGGAACCGAGGAGTAATCTGCAAAAATAGAACATAGTGTAAGCCGGTGTTAGCTACTTCACTGCTATTACAGTATGTTGATCTTTTCCCAGTGACTGTTGAATCTCAAACGGGGCAAGTTCTGTCCCTCTGCCACTGATTTTGTCACTTGATGTCTGAGTATCAAATACAAACATGCAGCGTGTGTATTCTCAGAAGCCTGCAAATGGGGCCAAACCTGAAAGGGGTGCCCTCAACAGACCATCACAAACTCTCGGATACCATGTGGGTCATTAAGACGGCTCGCCTCACTCATGTGCTCCATTCTGCAGAACATATGCTCGCCCTGCGGCGTGGTCTTTGACTTTTGGAGCGCCTTGGCAAAGCGAGTGAGAGGCACACGCACCTTCACCTCGGTTTCCATGGGTTTAACCCACTGGACCAGACACTTGGAGCTCCTTTTGCTCAAAGGAGGGGGTTTGTGCGCTGAGCCATATTTTTGAACATATTCAACCGTCGTGTATGCCGAAGACCTGCTCAAGGCACTCAGAGGTGCACAGATTCATCCAAGTGTTTCAAGCTTTGGCCGAAACACGTATCTTCCATTTGCTTGTTCGCCGCCTGGAAACAATAAACATATTTCCAGTAGTGATTGCCCTTACAACCAACAGGGGAACATTCAACAAAAAAAGCAAATGGAAGCAAGTCGTCAATATGTAGGCACACGCACGTCTGCACCCCGCCTTAGGAGTTGCCGGTGACTTAGGCCTGCGGGTGCACAGCGAAGCCAAAGTAAAGCCACGGCGATGGCCAGGTGTTGCTGCCAAAACAGGCAAATACAATGTCTCACTTCCCGAAAGGACTGGCCAATCAATTCCAAACTTCTTGTTTCCCACCAAAAAGGTCTTCCCAAGAAGTGTAAAGTCCATGAACTCAAGAAGTCAGATGTAGTATTCCTTTCCTCAAGGGTTGTCCATCCGGCACACAACTGGACAAGCCCCCATAACTCTCACAATATATATGTGGGTGCGAATTTTATTGAGGGGCCCTGTGGTGGACATCATTTAGGTGGGGATTTCTATCCACCAATCTGTGAGGGGTCTCAAGCGTACGCAGAGCGACAGAACCAATCCGCCGGCCTCGAAGCTTTCTGCACTTCATGGCCCTCCTGATCGCGGCTTGGTCAACATCATCTGGGTGTTTCTGTTCTTGTCTTTTAAGGGTGCCCTGTTTGGGTTTGGTTCCAAGAGACACCAAAAGCACACCAGTCATTTTGTTTTATTTATTGTTTTTTTTTGGGGGGGGATCCCTATTTTGAGACACTGCCATATCCAATCGTCTACCAGCACCCCCTCGCCCAAACCCGAATCGATGTTTGACCAGTTTATTTGTCAATAGGGCCCGCAGTGAATTTGCCACGGTTGCGGGAAACGAGTAAGTTGACTGTACCTGACCTGTGGTCAGAGCCAAACGCTGGGTCATGGTAATGGCTCGCTTAGCAACCATTACATTGGTTCTCTAAATCCCAAAGTCGACCGTCCCCACTTCAGATCCTTTGACCATGACCATGGCACGCATCTCCGTTTTGCCCCCGAAAGTATCACCAAGGGCTACCTTTTGGATTCCTGGCGCTAGCTTGCATCGGCTTGCATAGACAGCCTTGCATAGACAAGTTTGCAAAGAACATTTCCACAAAAGAGAACTCTGCGTAGAGAACTTGCATCGAGAGATGAAGTAGGAGCCTCTACCCCTCTTCTGAGGCCCAGTGGCACACTCAGCACTGCAAATTCCAGAAAGGCGTCAAAACCACGGCGCGTGGAGCGGCAGTACCAGAGTCTGATACAGAGTTTTTTTTTGTGTGCGTGGATGTTTCTGATGGAAGCCGCAAGGAATAAAGTTCCATGTAAGGAAACAACCCATGCTTCACGGCCGCCTAGTTGTAACCACACTCATCCAGTGAATTCACCTCTGAGGGCTCATCCCCGGCGTGTCTGAGCCCCGGAGTGTGAGAGAGCCGTGCCAGGGGGAGACGTCTCAAGATTGAGGACACAAACAAACATCTCTTCCCTGTCTCCATTTTGCAAAAAACAAAAAGATCCTCAACAAGGACTCATGAGGCGTCATGAGGTATGCATCCCTTAGAACGCGGAAAAAACAACCCTCGACTTCCATGGGGCTGAAGGGAACTCCGGCGAACATCGGTCAATCCAAGGGACTGAACACGAAGCTGGGCCCTTCCTTGGCCCATAGGAACCTACTGCGTTCGACCAGATAAAACCCACCTGGGCGGTCCGCTGTCAGATCCACAAAGCTTGGCGAACTTTTAGTGGGTTTAGTGGAAACTACCACTAAACCAACCAAAAACAGCTAAAAACCCAAGGAACCGGATGGCTGGGCTTGTCACCAAGACGCATGATTGCCCGTGATTCGATCACCCGAGAACGGTTCGTCCCCATGTCGCCAGACCTTTCTCCCCCGAGCCGAGGGGCTCGGGAGCTCAAGCCACTGCCAGATCTCGCAGGTGTCTTCGCGCTGCTGGCGCCACAGCCCATTGGCTTTGGAAGCAGGTGCGATGTTTGTTTTTGCCTCCAGGGCTGCAGAAGCTTGTTTTGTTCTTTGGAGAGAGGAGCTGGTTGGAACTAGTTAACTAGTTGCTGTGGCCCCCTTCAAGGTTTCATGTGTTCTGGTAGGCCGTGTGCGATTCATGCTGCGGTTGCAACTCCACCTCTATTCCGGTGGCTGAGCCGCTGCGGTGTGTTTGAAGGGAACAATCGATGGTTCAAAGCAACAGACCAGTGCCAGTGTCCAATCTCGCCAAGGACACGCGTTAGATTGGTCCTGTCCTATGAGAGATCTCCCTTGCAACAGGAGGACTACGAAGGGCATTGCGATATCCGATGCGAAACCTCATTGCGTTTGTGAGGGTGCCCTGCTCAGGTTGGGTCATATGGAAACCAGCAGGAGCCATTTGATCATTAGCATGACATCTGGGCAAATTGCCATAACTTGCCAACCGAAAATGCGGGACCCCCCCAGAAACAAACCTACACTTTGGGTTCTGACGCCGCCATTCTCCAGCCAAATTTCTGATAAGCCCACACAACCTACCACAAACAACCTGAACGAGTCTTGCTCACCTTGGTGCATCCACACTCGGCTTCAGGCAGCACTGCTCATCACATCCTTTCCCTCGCCTGGGTGCATGCGCTTGAGCGAGACCACCCCTTAGCCTTTTGATTTGGCTGTGGTGGTTGGGGGGGGGCTAGAAAAAGAACGTCCTCACTGAAGCCTCGGCCAATTGATCTTGCTATCACAGCTGTTGGATCACCGTGACTGGGAAAGCTTTCCGCTGCAAGTCCGGGCCCAAATACAACTTACTCTATTCCGAATTGTTTGGATTGGTGGCTCAGGGATTAGACACTGTAGCCCTAGACACAAGGCCTGGCATAAGAATACCACCCGCCCACGTCTGCGGATTCTCCCGGCCAATACTCAGGTGGGGAAGGCTCTCAACCACCTCACATGACATGCTCTTAAGATCGAACACCCCAAAATGCCGGCTTTCCCGGCTTTGCTTTCCCTTGAAACCACCACCCAAAAAAAACATTTCTCGCAAGGCATGGTGGTAAACAACTTTGTTTTTTGAAGCCCCCCACTAACAATGGATTGAGCCAAACAACAAAACAACACCTTGCCAAGAACAGTGAAGGGTAGCTCAACAAACCAGCCCCAGGTGGACGAAATCCTGCACCTAAGAAACCTTGGAAGGATGATTGCCCCCGTAAATACCGTAACCAATAGTTGTTTCCCATGGAGAATTCTGGGTGAATTGTAATATTTCACCCACCTAAAATTAGGTGGTTGGGGGGCTACCCACATAAACCACCATTTGGGGTGAGGATTCAGATGCAGGAACCGCTACGCGGGAGAAAACGTCACCACTTCCCCGTCAGGGCGCTGTCCACCTTCAGGCTCCGCCAGTCCGCTGACAGCCAGCCCCTGGATGGAACACTCGTCGGTCTCTCTCGCTTCCATTTGGTTAAGACCCTTTTTTTTTAAAACATTTTTTCCAGTAGTGATAGATTCCCTTTAAAACCAAGAGGGGAACATAAAAAAATGCTCTTAAGCAAATAGAAGTTAGGGGAGCCCTTTTTGGTTGGGAAAAACCAAAAGGAAGACCATCATTTGAGGGCTTCCCCCAAAAAGACACACCCATATTTTGCCCTTGCGACAGCAATCTCCACTGAACAGGGGACTGGAAGGAGGGTTATGGCCTAGACAACAAAGCCAGACTCCCACCATTTTTCTTTGGGGGTTGTTGAACTTAGAGGGTCATCGCCACAGTTTAACCAACAGAAAACAGAAAGGACGCAACCCATTGGGCAACTGAGGCAACCCCAGAACTTCAGTATACTAGTTGTACTGGTCAACCAGTTTGTGTTGAGCGTGTCCTATCTTGTTCCTAAAAATGCAAATGACCTCTGTTGTTGGACATCAAGGTGAAGCAACCCATTTTTAGAAGTTCTGTATGAGAAAATCTAGTGGCACAGCGGGCTTTGGCCAGCCGAGTGTAGAGTTCTGTGTTGCAATTACGTCACGCCCAGCCATTGCGACCAAGCTTCATCTAGGTCCCCCAGTAGTGCCCTTTCTCACCCCTTTTTTGGGGGGAGGGTTCCCCTACTAAAATAGACTACAGAAAAAAAGGGTACCCTTATTCTAACCTCTCTACTGGAGGACCTAGTCATGATTCCTGCACCGAATCTTGGGCAACCCTGTACTTGTTGACTTCCCTTGCTTCAAGGAGTATGGGCTTGAGCTGTTTGTGAAGCCGTCCAAGAAGACCCCCGAAGTGAGGAAGACATAGGTATAGCCCAATTTGGTATGCACCCCAGCCCTGTAAACCAACCTGCGTCATAACCAAAACCGATCGGTGCTAACATGTTCTACCCAAAGCCATGCAAAGAAGCAAAAGGCGGATCTCTGCACCGGGTTCGTAATTTTTCACTCACCCGAATTTCGGTTTTGAGCAAGCGGCTCTGGAAAAAAAATCCGGGCCGACCAAAAACCATCAACCCCAGCCCACGTCTCTTAGAACTCCCCAAAGCAAGACGCATCGGCACATCGGCCTGGCCGCTTCCGAGCCCACAAGACCTTGGAAGCTCAGGACCAAAGCCGCACAAATGCGAGTCGCGGCGGAATTTCTGCCGCTTCTCGCGTGGATGGGCCAAACAAAAACTAAAATGGGTCGAAGTTTCGTTGCCCAAAACTCGTTTGGCTTGGTCTACCAAAAAAAACAAAACAAAACAAAAAAAGCGAAGGAAAAAAACAAGAAGTCTAGACCCCAAAAGTGGACAGAAGCTCGGAGTCTCGCTGGACTGCCGGCGTCGGCAAATCTGTGACGAAGAAACCTCCCCGATGGCAGCCAGCTTGTCCGGGTGTGTGTGTGTGTTTTCTGTGTTGGGACCAATGGCGGCTTTCCTTTTGGCTTCCCTTTAAAACCATCAACGGGGTTCCCAAAAGACGAGCCATCCAGCTGCTTCAGCTTTCACGGACTTGCTTGCTGAGGCGATGGCTGTTCAGTGGACCTTGAGGGGCGGACACCTGCGAGCTTCCAGGTCAGGGATCGCCCTCAGATCCGAGGGCTGGGAATCGCCAAGAGCAAAACACGGGCCTTGAGGAACTTGTGGAGTCAGACAGAAAGTAGACCCCTCGTAAACGTTGGTCCAAACCCAGTAACTGCCATTCCTCAGGGACATTAGATCTTCGCAGCGCGTGCCTGGGTCGCAATGTAGTGATAGATCCTTGGGCAAAGTCTCGCGGCGGCACATCCATGAAAGCCCACATGCTGTCCCTAAACCAGCCAAAGGCAGCAATGCTAGGGAACGCCATGCCGCCGGAACAATGCTGAGAGCCAGACGGCAACACAAGGGGATGTTCAGCAGGAGGCACCTGATTGCATAGATCATTTGCGCATGCTGCTTCAGCTTTCGGAGGCTACTATGATTCGCGGGTCGTGTGGTGTGAGCCTTCAGCTTGCCATTTGTCGCAGTTGTCGCAGTTGTCCACTCGATGCCGACGCTTGCGCGGCGATGTTACTCTTGCATTGGGACCGAATCTGCACAAAAGCACTTGGCGATGCTGATGGCTGTGCTTGGCAACGCGGTCATCCATACAACACTGATTGCTTTGTGGCATCTTTGCCGCTTGTTGACATATCTCGCTAACTTCAATTGCAGCGTTGTTCATTCACATGATACTCACTTCTGTCAGTGAAACACGCATTTCACCTCTACTACCACTACTCGATGCCTGAGCAGTTCTTGGCTCGGTCATTTCATGGCAGACGACCAGTTTGCGTAAGTTGAGCACAACCTTGCAGCGCAAAGCACGAGGTGCCGGAAAGCCTGGCCTTACACAAGGTCCTCCAGATTTGAGAGGTTAGAATAAGGGTACCAACTTTTTTCTGTCGTCCATTTTATTAGGGGAACCCTCCCAACCAAAAAAAAGAGGTGAGAAAGGGCACTACTGGGGCCCTAGTACATCATGGCGAACTCGTTTTCCCCCCGAATCGGTGCGCTCGCCATACAGCTCTGGGCTGCCCGTTTTCTGATCCCCTGCTACAAGTGAATAACTTTTAGTGGGTTCAATTCGGAAACCCTCTGAAAGGCTAAAAAGCTAAGGAACCGGATGGCGGGAGCCAAGAGCCAGGCCATACTGTGGATGGACGAAATCCATTTCGCACCACCGAAGAAACCCTGGAATGACGATTTGCTGCAACTACCAACACTGGCTTCAACCCTGGTTTCAAAGTGGTGCGCAATGGATTTCGCAACCATCCGCACAGCTAAAAACGGCTTCCCAGAGAGGCCCCAGCGCAGGTCTCGAGCAGCAGCTGCTCGAGAGACTCCAGCCGTTGCCTCCGCGCCACGGCCGCCGCGCGGAAAAATCGGACGGACCCCTCGAGAGGACTATCTTGGTTGACGTTGGAAGGGGAGCAAAAAAACAATAGCAGTTCAGTGGTTGGATTTCAACCACGAAACACCACAAGAAGCAAATATGATTCAAATGTTTCCCAACAACAACCATGCTATGGGGGCTATCCCAAGCCCAGGATAAGCCAAGTTGATACGCCAACTTAACAAGGCCAGGGGTGAATAAGGGAGTTTATGCCCCCCAGATATTTCACCGGTTCGGGGTTCGGGTTTTGGCGGGCTCCGGAGAGGGTTCAGCTTGCGCGGAACTGCAAGCTGTTCTACCATCGCTTGTGATATTTACCGCGGATGGTTGCGAAATCCGTTCGCACCCCCCCCCCCCCCAAAAAAAAAAAAAAACATGGTTGAAATCATAACGTTTGTTGATCCACGGTCGCTGCATTTCGGGTCCTCCATGGGTCCAAATGTGACATCAAATGCGCCAGTGAGCATGCTTTCAAACTCAACTGTGCGATACCGATGAATATTTTATCACTGAAGGAATTGACTCCTCCGGCACGCAAGCCGCCTCTAAGAAGCCAGTTTTCCACAAACATGCTTGCTTCTCCTAACGGACATGACAGCATCAGTTTTCGTCCGGTTTTTGTGGTTGAAATTCAGTGAGTCTTATCATGTCCCTTCGAAACTAAACATAGACTGCTGATATTGAGGGCTCAAAACTTGATATATTGAAACCAGGTAGTCGAGCCACCTACTAAGATGGCTTCAATGAGTGCTTTGGTCGCTGCTCGAGCGTCCTTTGCAGACACCACCCCGAAGGAAAGTCACTAAGGGGGCCACGAGATGGTTAAACCACCCCAAAGCTACAGCGTGAGAGCCTCTGTGGTCCTGCAGCGCTGATCGGGAGTCATACCCAAAGAGCCTGGTCAAAATTCAGGGTCTTGGCAGTTGGGGTGGGGATGGCTGAAACTCCTTGTGACGCGAAGAAGCCACTCGACTGGTGCCTCCTCGCCGCCTGGCTCTTCTCCCCCTGTCCGACAGCATGGGTCGTCAAAGAGAGGGGGAAGCCCCCCCCAGAAAATGGGCGGGGTCCTCCGGTGCCTTTGAAACCTCTTGCTTTGATGCGGAGACTGGACTGGTGGACCGAACTGGGTTGTGCAGGCTGGACTGGGCTTGAGACTGGGAAGTGCGGAAGCTCGCAAGCAAGCTTCCAATCAACCTGACGTTCGCACAGCAACTGACGTTTTCTTTTTCTCTTTTTTAAACGAACAAGATTGACAATGCGACCCCCTGTTGGCTGAGCAGAAAATGAATCAAGTTTGACAATAATATCTTTGACGCAAAGGATGGACATGCCTCGTCCCCACTTAGAACTTACGGCGTCGCCAGTTGACACTTAAGTAGGCCAACAAGGATGTTATACTACCTCCGCAAGCGTTCTTGCCGGCACCATTCAATTTAACTCTCCGATTACTTCGAGTTTGAACAGTTGCTTTCGGCTCGCCGATTGCTTCGTGTTACCTCCAGGGCCCGTTAGGTGGGCCGAGCTGAAGCCTCACATGCGTCGCCCTGACTTGACGCACAATGCATCCATTTTGTGACGCAAGCATTGGGTTGCAAGTATCGACTGAGACACCCGAACCCGTTTCAAGTGGCATGAAATAGAGGCAAGGAGATTCAAGCACACCTGCCTGTGGGTGACTCCCCCAATGAAGTTTGAGAGGCTCTTCGAATGTGTCAGAAAGTGGCTTTTGCGTCAAAAAGAACTTGGGCTGGTCAACATGGACGTCTCCGCGGCAGAAAGTTTTCTCGGGCTGGAGTCCAATGGGATCTGACGAACCACTTTTTTCTGGTGCGCCTCCGGGCCGGCATTTCTTCCAGAACCCATGTCGTCAAGACTCATGGTCATGGCAGCCCAAATAGACACCCTTACAATGGTTGAGTAAATCCACAAGGGGTTCCATGACCAACCTCACCTAGGTCCTCGAGATTTGAGAGGATAGAATAAGGCTAACCTTTTTCTGCAGTCTATTTTAGTAGGGAACACCTCCACCAAAAAAGTTGGGTGAGAGGTCGGGCACCCTTTCGCAGGGGGACCAACCTCACCAAGCCGTTTAACGATCCCGTGAGCACGGCTCTGGCCCGCGCCCCGAGGCTGCCTCATCGGCCTTCTCCGCGATTTGGCCGCCACCGTTCAGGCAGCCTGCGGAAGCAAGGCTCTGGAATTAGGACCCCAGCAAATAACTATAACTTTTGTTGCCTGGTTAGTGGAAAGGGACCCCAAGAAAGCAAAAAACCATCAACAGGGGAGCTAGTTCTGGGGAAGGGCTGAGTATCGCCCAGATCTCTTCAACAAACTCCCAATCTAAACGGAGCCACCCAAAATGTGTTTTGGGTGGAGATGGCGGAGTTTTGTGGGTGTGCCTTTCTTGAGACTACCCGCAAAAAGGTGGTTTTAGTTTTGGTTTCCCCTTGAAACCAACCAAAAAGCGGGTAGCCAGCCATGTTGATGAAGCACGAAGGTACCCTTTCCAAATACACAGCTGAGGGTCCCGAAAGCAACATGCTTCTGGTAGGTTCAGAAGTAACTGTTCCAAACCCTCAGATCGTCAGCTTCCACGATTTTTTGGCGGGAGGGTTGCAATACACATACGTACATAATATACATATATATATATATAATGCTATTCAGCCATGTGCGAAACATCGCCGCCCACAAGCTGGCTTTACTTGGTTGACGTGGGAAGGGGAGCAACCAAATTCTCAAATTCTAGCAGTTAAGTGGTTGGATTTCAACCACTAAACCTCAAAAAACAAAATGTACAAAATTTCCCAACGACAACCAATCCACGAGCCAGTGGGCAACAAGTGGCTTGCCAAGCTCGTGACAGCAAAGTGGTGGCTGCGATCAAAAGCGGAAGTTGTGCACGCAAGAACCCATGAACACTAGGTCCTCCAGATTTGAGAGGTTGGAATAAGGGCACCAACTTTTTTCTAGAGTCTATTTTAGTGGGGGAGCCGAATCTCCCAACCAAAAAAGTTGGCAAAAAGGGCACTACTGGGACACCTAGCTGCCGGGCTCGGGAATTGAGAGACTCATCTGTCTCGTCCGCTTGTCCGGAACACTGAGTCATAATCAAAACCTGGTACAAAAATGGTGAACCCAGAACCATGTAAAGAATTAGATAGGCGGCTGCAACTATTTCCGGCTGGGTCTTTCCCTTACTAACCTTCATCTACCCAGGTTTTGATTGTGGCTCAGACTTGAGTTGGGCACCCCTCTTTTGATGTCAAGTAGGTCCAAAAACATGGGCACACAAATATGGGTGTCTCATTTTTGAGGCTACCCTTCTGGGACTTTTTTCGAACAAGACCACAAGGGCACTACACATCTGTGTAGTGCCCAACATTATTTTTCAGACACGTGCCATGGTTAAAAACAACAACAAACAACATGTCTCTCGTCAACAAGCTCTCGGCTTGCTTTAGATTCGGACTTCGAAGGCGAAAGGTCTCGAAGTGGATCTCAATGTGGGTTATGGCCATGGCTTCAATTGGTTGACGTGGGAAGGGGAGCAACTTTCTTTCAAATTTTAGCAGCTAAGTGGTTGGATTTCCCGCCACTACACCACGATCAGCAAAAATGCAAGATGTTTCCCAACAACAACCATGAAATAGGAACGCTGAAAGGTTGTCTATCCACCCTCCAGTCCCTTGACCATGGCGTATGTCACACAGCCTCCGGGGCAGGCCATGATCTCTACGAAATCCCCCAAGGCGTCGCCGTTCACCTGACCAAAAAAAACGCCGGAAGTTCTGATCAAACCATGCATTCACTCCCATTTGCTTAGGCCAAAACAAACAAACAAACAAACACAATTTGTGAACCATTCCCTTTAAAGCCAACAAAAGGGACATATTCTTAGGCTAAATGGCAGTTCATGGTCTTGTTCCGCACATTTTTCTTCCCACAACGCCATGCCCATCTCCAGAAGGTCCCGAAGCTGAAGGGTCTTTTGGTACATCTCCACAGCTTGTTTAGCTGGAGAGCGGCCGGGACTAAGTTAGGGTCGGGGCAAATATCAAGAAAGATCCTAAGACGACAGGCCCAATGCTCCGCGGATCTAGCAAAGCCACTGGAGCCCTGCAATGCCACAGCTGCGGACTGTCCCTTTTACGACGTGGATCAGAAGTAGCCAGAAAAGCAACTTCTGTGCAGAATTTCAGGGGCGACTCCACGAATTTCTCCAGGGCCCAATGGCTCCACCCCCGAACGTGCCTTCCCAATACGCCGAATGACCTGGCCAGGCGGGTGCACGGATTGGGATTGTCCTTGTGATTTCCGTCAACAAGAGTACTCTCAAACAATAAACACACAGAGTTGCAGGTGTTTGCTTCTGTGAATCTCCGTGTTGCCAGCAAACTGGGTTGTCCAAACAAGCCAACGATCGATGCATCCTACCAAACAAGAGTTGAGCTGCCACACTATAGCCCAAACAAATAGAAGAGGAATGCGGAGTATTAAAAAACCAAGTTTAGCCAAAATTGTAGCAGTACATTATTATGTATAGTATTTGTTCAGCCCCTATTTGGGTGACTCTGAACGGGTTCTACCATGCAATCGATCTGAAACCGTCTACCGGTTTAGTCTAGCTTCCCATGACCTATCTCTGAGAGAGTCGTGCATGCCGTTGGCTAAGGCTTACGTGACTGCCTTTCGATGCCACTGAAATCTTGAAAAACTGCGGCAGAGTCAGGATGCTCGAGTTGCCACGCCGAACAGAGCGATGGCATTCAAGCATTCTCTGGCAGACGGCATCCATCGAGCTTCTTAATTTGCAATCAGCAAGTGTCAGCGATACATCTCGTCATAGGGCCCGAGCTCGTGAACGCCCCCCAGATCGGTGAGCTCCATAAAAATCCAGGTACATGGCCACCGTCAACTACCGAAAACGGTAACGTGGATTTTGGTAAGCATCGCCTGTTTCCGAATACTTGGGTGAGTACGCTCCACGTCATCCCGCCACAGACGACGCCCTCACTTCTTGAGCGCCCTGGCCACAAGAAGCCCACACTTTTGGGTTGCCACTATGGCTTTCCCAAAAAGTGTTCCAAGTCCGTGACCCCAGGAAGTGAGGTGATATTGCCGCCTTTTCTCACAGGACTCGTCTCCCTAGAGGGAGCGCCCCGATTGGCGACTTTTTCGAAGTTTGAGGCCGCGGCGTTCTGGATGTTTCGGAAGCCGTAGGCGGCCGTGAATCGCAGCCTCGAACGCACGACCCAGGCCGGCCGTCGGGCCGGCCCCCAGGCCCCAGCTTTCTCCGACGGCGTCGAACGAGGCGGTGGTCAAAAAATGGGGGCTCCGAATGGATCCGATTTCCCCCGATTTTCCACGGGGCGCCAATACAGCAAGGTAAACAAAGCACTAAAAACCAGGTTTGGATTGAGATTGATGAAGGAACCAAAGACTAGCTGTCAAGGAAATGCCGACTCAATCCTTGGTGCGCAAGTCAGGCCAAAACGGCGCGTAGCCAAAACAAAGGACCAACATGGAATGGTGAAACACTGGAAAGTTGATCAAAATCGGAAAGTGTATTTCTTTCCAACCCGGCGGTTGCCGGATTGATCTGATTGGGCTCTTGATCTATGCCACACTCGAGGCCATCCCTTAAGATCAGTTTGGATCATAGTTGGACGAAACACACCCAAACAGGAACAGTCACCACAATGAACATGTTAGTGGTGGCCAACATTTCAACAAAAGAATCCGCATTTTTTGCGGGAGGGGCATCCAACATCTTTGAACAGGACCCGTCAAAATCCTGTGAGCCATAGGACCGAAGAAATCCGCGCATTCGCTTTAATCTGACACACACTCCGGGACACCTCCCCATTCGAACGGCGAACACGTAAGGCGTTGCCGGTTGCTCATCTCTCCAAGCAGACATAAAAGGGGCAATCCTGATTTGCTTTAAGGGCACTCCGCTGAATGCCAGAGAAGTCTCTTGTTTGGGAGCCCATCTTCAGTTTAAATTAGCTGAAGTGGAGCGGCCATGCTTGTTCGATGGCTCCGAAAATATGGGTCTATCACTCAAAAATGGGGGAGCCCCCAGAAATAAATCGTGCGCTTGCCTGTTCGTACACGCACACACACACACACACTCAGACCCACAAACCCACAAACCCACAAACCGACAAACCGACACCCACACACTCGCACATACACACAGCCACATACACACACAGCCACACACACACACACAGCCACACACTCGCACACCCACAAACTCACACACTCGCATACGCACACCTGCCCACCGACACACTCGCGTACCCAAACACACCAACATAATCAAAGACCCAAGACCAACCCGCAAAGTCACACAGCACGCACAACATACACACGAGTTTTCCTTTCAAAATCCTTTAACCCAACAAGGCGCTTTTCTTGGGGAGCTGCCCTTGCCGATTCTTTTTTTACCCAAAAGGACCCCATGTTTGTAGGGTGACAAACTTGAGGTCGCGGCAGGACCTTTTGGGTCTTTGGATCCTTGAGGAGAACCTGAGGCATTCAGATCGAAACTCGCGGAACGGCTTTCCCTTTACTTGCTGGGCGATAGGGAATGACCGTCGTGTTGGGAATGAACCGGAACGGGACTCCCTAAGAAACCAGATATGGGATGGTTTTTCTTGGGCTCATCGCAAGTCTCATTCCCTGCTGCAAAGGTTGACCCATATGACTGTGGGTCAGAAACTTAATGGGGACCCTGGTAAATGGAACCCAGGACAAAAAAACCTGCGGTCCCCTGGTGGTTGAATTTGGACCCACACCCATATCCATCAGATGGAAAATACGCTTCAACTCACAGAGAGCCTTCTCTTCCTCAGTTGATTGGAGGTCAAGTGAGCCTTTATCATTTCTCCCGGAAATTGGCTTGGAGGTGGACGAAAGGAACCCCCGTCACCAACTTTGCTACGGTTTCTCTGACACCGAACCGGCTTGGGCTTGTGCCAAGCTATGGCCATCCAGCCGGCTACCCTCCAAACAAAAGAACAAGAATAAGAGGGTTCCTGCTAAAGGACAATTCATTTGGACAAACGAACCCGGAGCCAGCGGGGATACGGAGCGAGCGGGGATGTGGGGGGGATTCCCTTGGCGCCATTTCCCATATCAAACTTAGTCAAGGTGCACTTAGGGGGAATTCTCCCGCATCCCTGGTTCCGGTTCCCCTGAACAATGGTCTTCCAAAGCGTTCCTTTCAGGTTCCAAAGGTCTGTTTTTGAGTGCCATTTGTGCATCCATTGGCATATGAGTGCCAGTTGCACTCAACGAAGAGGCACGCCACGAGCCCGAAGAAAACGAAACGAGGCCCTTCAGCCACCACCATGTTCTTGCATGTTCAACCTTCTTTTGCCTTTGTCCGTTGATTTCGGCACGATGGTTTGTTCTTCAAGCCGGGGTTTGTGGAGCCATTAAGTTGTTTATCCCCGCAGTACTTTCTGTCCAAAGCAGCTGGTTGTGGCTACCGCCTTACCTGTTTGCATTGGTGAACAAGCAGCTTCGCTGTAAACATCCGTGCTCTCTCTACTAGGTCCTTAAGGGTACCCTTTTTTTCTGTGTCTATTTTCGTGGGGGAACCCTCCCCCAAAACAGGGTACAAGGGCACCGAGCCGGGGGACCTAGTCTGCGTCATGAAGGCAACCTAGACGTAGCAATGTGATTCCAGAGTGGGCCGACCCTCATTGCCACCCTTGGTGTCGAAAGTGGATATCCCTGAAAAACCATTTTCCTCACCAAACACAAAGGCCACCATGGATCAGTGCGTCCCATGCCGCGCCTCGCGCATGTCCTCGTTCTGCTTCTTTTGCAATGACAAAGGAGATGCCGAGAGGTCAATGGAAAACCTCGCAAACATACCAATCCGCTCGTTCATTTCAAGGCATTCGGGCAAGCAAGTAAGAAGTGAGCCATCTGAACGGGATTAACTAAACACAAGTCTAAGACTCTGATGAGTGAGAGCATGAAGTTCTGAAGACTAAGTTTGGGTGAACCTAAGCCGGTTCCAACAATGGCTTCTATTGTGCAGTGGTGCCAGCCAAAGCCTTGCTTAGAATTTGCGGGTCCGCAGGCCATTGTGAGTGAGATCAATGGCGATTTGCGCCATCTGAGAACTTTTTGGGCCGGACACCTGCCTCCAAAAGACCTACTCGTGACTCTCCGTGACTCGGGCCACAGGATCTGACTTTTGCGTGGCTTGCCAAGATTTCTCTTTGCAAAATGGATAGATTTGCACTGATCGAAGTCAGATACTCAGTCTGATTCAATCGAGCGCGTCGCTTGTTGCGTGAAAAGATGACATTTCCTAGGCTTTACAGCCCGAAACCAGGAACTCTGGCTAAAATAATTGCAGACACAAAAAAAACAATCTTTCGTCATCATGCACGCACGCTTGACACAAATCCTGGCTATCCCATCAAGCACAAGTTTCAGACCTTCTTGCTCTCAGTCTCGGTAGATGCAGTTCCGTCGACATTTGCTGACATCCATTGCCTGCAACACCTGGCGGTCGTGCTTCGGTATCCACCCGCACACTCCAGCATCGCTTGGTGTGCAATTCACAGCTCACTCCTGCCACCTTTGCTTGCTCCATGGGCTCGGTGACGCCCCCCCGTCCAGTCCATGCCGGGGCAAACTTCCATCGTGTGAGGTGACTGCCATCGACGTGGCCCCAGGAAACCACAAAATCAACGGGAAGATCGTCAAGGCTCATGCCATGGTTCACGAGCGAACCAGAGTTTGCCTTTTCCACTGAAATGAACAGCCGCCCTTGAAAAGGGTGTCTACACTACCAGGGCTGCTTATTTATCCCGCAAACCGTGGAAAATGCAAACCATGTACTGAACCGCAAGCTCAGCTGGCAATATCTCACCACTGTGAGGTGCGCAGGCGGAGACTACAATTCAAAAACCTGAAATTAGAATAAAAACCTGAAATTAGAGTTGGATTCCCAGGCAAAAAACCTAGTCACGGTGAGCTCGCTTAACCCTCAGGTCGGCTCGCCACAAAAGAGGCGGATCAATCACCGCGTGTGCTTCTGTCAAATCCCATAGCTGTGGTCGAACTGTTGCGTCGGCTCTGGCCAGCTCTCAGCTGGCCAAATCAGTCTCGCGCTATCAGATGGGACCCTAGGGGACCTTCTGGGAGTTTAGGCTCTCAACAGCCCTTGGAGGTGCCTCTTGGAAGCGATTGCTTCGAGAAGCAATCCTGAGGCTTGTGACTTGCCTGCCATCCGGCAAAAACCTTCTGCCGGCTACAGGCACAGCGGCACCTTCGGCCAGCGAGTCTTAATCAAAACCTGGTAAGGGGTCTAAGACTGCCCCGTCTGTTTCTGGGTGGGACTGTACACCAAGGTATTTCACTCAATGTCAGAATGAGATCAATCCGGGATTGCATACTAATCACGGTGGATTCATTCATGGAAACACTTGGAGGGTTCCTTGGATTTGCATGGTCATCTGCAGTACCTCGAAGCAGACATTTTAGCGCTTTGACTGCTCTATTGATTGGACGCTCAGCCCAGTGAGCAAGTGCTTGGCCACTTGGGTTGTAACCTCTTGTGACAAGGTGCACCCCACTGAACTGTAGGCGGGTTTTGGGGTTCTAGTTGTAGCCTGGATTACGAATCAAGAATAGGCCATGCGCAAAAAAAAGGGCGGCTTTTCTTATTGGTCGCTGAATTTAAAGGGACCCTTCCCGCAAAACAGGGCAGCAAATGGCAGCAATGGGTCCTAGCTTGGCAACGAAGACTAGATCCTCCAGAGAGGTTAGAATAAGGGTACCCTTTTTTCTGTAGTCTATTTTAGTAGGCGAACCCTCCCCCCAAAAAGGGTAAAAGGGCACTACTGGTGGACCTAGAAGACTTCTTTGAAGGGCTGTAGGAAACTTGGGGACCCACTTTTTGCGGGCTCCTTCCGTTTTGCGGAAGGCGGCAATCTTAGCAGAAGCTAGTATGCCTAGGATGCGCGGCCACGGGAAAAAACTGAAAGCGGGCAATTGGTGGGTCATAAACCACAAAGACCACAAAGGCTCAAGAAATGGAGGTCCACAAAAACCGCCACACATCCAAAACGACTAAAAGCAAAAACCTCAAAAGAAAGCAGGCACGGCTTACACCGGCCCCCGTTCCTTTTCGATCTTCTCTTCCAAGCGCCATCCCTGTGTTCCCCGTGCCCATTCCAAGCGCCCGCGAGTTCCGGGCTCCGGGGCTCCCGGCAGCTCTCTGGCCGCCTCCCGGAAGACGTGCTCCAGGAACCCCCCGGAGCCCGCGTTGCCCTGCACCGCGCAGAGCAGCGGCGCCGGGCGCCGCGCCTGGCGCCGAAGACGCGCAAAGACGCGGGCGGAAAAGGGGGGGGGTGAGGTGACTTGGCAAAAACGGTGCCGGAGATGCAGGGAATGGGAAATGGCATGACCCCAAGAAAACCCATCCAAGTGGTGGGTTCCTTTTGAGTTTGTGTTTCTTCCCGGTTCATTCACACATTCCCTACTTAATCGGATCAAGGTGAATGATTCATCTGTTTCAACTTGGTCGAAGTGCGACGGTATATAATAGTCATGGCTGTACCAATTTTGTACTTGCTAGTTTGATGGATGTGAAGGGGAACAATCATTCAGGATACTTGGAGACGCGCCCACATGGGTTTGTCCGAAAATAGGGAGTTCAAGCCTTTGTTGGATTGGTTTTAAGGGACCAAAAAGCAGCACACATCCCCCTGATGACTGTCTGAGCTTTACTCCTCAAAGAATTAGAGTTCTGTTCCCAGAGATATTTGGAGACAAGCTCACATGGGTGTCAAGCTGAATTGGTGACTGGTTTCCGAGGAGTAACTTGGATTCAGGAAGCGCGACTTGGATTCAGGAAGAGTTCCCAAACGGTTCATTGCACAAAGCCCTGATACCCAGATTCCCTCGATGTTTTTTTGTTTTGTTTTTTTGTTTGTTTTTTAAAATGGATTCAGGAAACGGAATGACACCAAACACCGCTAGGAAATGCAATGCCCACCTGCAAAATCGACAGGGGCCTACCCAAATCTGAGACTGGGCTGGTCTCCAAATGGGAACCCAAAATGCACCGGTTCCAGTTGGCTGCTCGTCAACTCAAACAGGAGCTCCCTCCAAAAAACGCACACCCACAGAGATTCTTTGATACCAATGACGATTGATACGAGTGGCAAACATCCGCACACAGTGTAGCTCTAAGTCTTGCTAGGTCCAAGGCCCAGACATTTGGGAAGCAGCTTGCGAGCTGGTTTTCCAGTGGTCAAATAACACAGCAAAGACCAATGGTCTATGCCCTTCTTGCGCATGCGGCAACCGTCTCTGCGTCGTGGACGCCCCGCAGGCTGCAATTCGATTGCCCCAACAAAACAGAAAATACCCAAGGGGCACTTACCCTCCCGCTCAAAACTGTAGCGTCTGACTAGAGCTCTCTCCAAGACGATGATCCTTGAATGGGGGTCTGGTGGGTGCAATTTTAGTGGGAAGAAGGATACTACACTGGCCAGCTGTTTGGGTGGTGTTTGACAGAACTCGTTTGGGCCGCTCAGTGGCCCTCTCCGACAGAATGATGATCATTACCTAGAAACTGATGCGCCTCACGAATCGAATCATATCCATCCGATGACATACGTTGCAGTTCTCAACGCGGAAATGAGGAAATGCTCATAGACTCCTCCAGCTGGTTGGCTTCACATTCCCTTCCCTTGAAGAAACCAACACTGGGCCCCTACTTGTTAGTCGTTCTTTGTTAATAACTTGGTTGTTCTTTGTTCGTTGTTCTTTCTTAGTTGTTTTTTCTTAATTAGTCGTTGTTAGGTGTTCTTCGGTGAAGTTGGTTCTTTGTTCGTAACTTCGGCTCTTTGTTAAGTTGGGCCCCCTGCCTGCAGATTGCCCAGGAAGAGGTCAGTCAACACCTGCGAAGGCTCGAAAACATATGCCACGCCACTGGTGTGAAGCCTGGTGACACGTGTCCCAGATGGTGAATAAATCAATTCGCTGATGTCTGCCTGAACTAGCCATGGCTGATTTGCAAGGAACCTCAATGCAAGACCACAGTTTGCGCAGTCCTCTATGTTATACCCAAATTAGTGGACTCAGAACTGCTCCGCTTGCGGGAAAGCATCGCATGGTCTTGCCAAACCGTGTCCATCATTGTCCATCTATGCAGTCAAACCTTAAGACCGAGTGCCAGGGAGCGGGGATAGGATTCCCTTGGCGCCATTTCCCACGTCAAAGCATCAAAGGGGGAAATCCTCCCGTTATCCCTGGTTCCCCCTGTATCCCTGCTAGTTGGAATATCTGGCTGTGGGTCAAAACCAATGGTACCAGTTTGGGATAGGTGCACCACCCATTTTAGAACCTATTTTAGTGGGGATTGAATCGGATGTTTACTGGGGGTGCGATTTGGATTTTGACCCATGGCCATCTCCGCCGTGGTCCAGAAGCTTGGGCAAGATATCGACCGGTCAACTCCCCGTCCGCTCCGCCTCGCTGTGCGGTGGACACGGCGGCAGATTGGACGGCTCCGTTTTCTGGCGATGCGAAGGGATAAGCTGGGCAATGTGGGTTTGTGTCAAAATAGGGGACCCCGGAATTGGGCGGCTTTCCTTTGGTTTCCCGTTAAGCCAACCCCCAGAAGGGTAGTTCCCCCAAAAAGAATATGTATATATATATATATACAGGAAAAAAACAATAAAACATATATGTATGTATAGAGAGCGAGAGAGAGAGACATAATTACGACACCCTCCCAATGCATGTCACTGCTCAGGCATTGACGATGCAATCAAATATGAAACAAAGGGTCGACGTTCATCACGCAGAGCATCTGCCCAAGCCAAGCACCAGCTAATCGCATCTGCATCCCAACAGCTGACGACGGAGCAGCCGCCCGCCGCCCTGCTTGCGTCGTCCATGAGACAGTAGTCATCCATGAGAAGGTAATTACTCGCAAACCAAGACAGCAGCATCCACGAACCAGATCGGCCTGCAGCCATGCGCTCAATGGCCGTCTGGTTCAGAAAGCCCACTGCGCGGATCCACCAGAAACGGTCCATAGCAGTTGCTCCATAGCCCTGTCCTTCATTTGCCACACAAAAAAAGCCGCTTCGGCCTTGGAGCAATGGAAACAGCTGTCGCGCCCCATCAAGGCATCGGCCTCCCCAAGCTCGGCAAGCAAAGGGACGTTCAGGAATGAGGGATTGATTGACTGGGCAAACAGCCGCACAACATGTTGGCTTTTAGGGTGTTCGAAAGATATAGCCTGTGGCTGTTAGGCTTCTTTGGTTTCACTTGTCAAAACCACCCTGGTTCCTCTTTCGTATGTTCAAAGCTAAGAATGATATCAACAGAAAGCCAAAAAGCCATTTTTAGGACTCCAATTCTCATTGGGGTTGTCCACAAAAAGTGGAAAGCCAGGAATTGAGGCCGGTTTCTCTTGGGGTCGCTTTGAAAAAACAAAGAAAAAGCACCAAAACCATTCATCTGCTTGCAGCGTTAGCAAACAAATGCATAATTTCCCCGTCATGACTGTAAAAACCCAAGTGCGGTTTTTGCCAAAAGGAAAATGAGGGATTCCGGAAAAAATGAGCCAAACAAAACCTAAAACAAACTCAAGGACCCCGAGACCTACCCAAAAACAGGCAAAAACAACAGTGCTCCTTGATATCCGCACCTATTGTGGATGGACAAATTCCATTTTGAACCACTTGGAAACTATGGTTGAAACCATAACGTTTGTGGGCATTTGCTTGGGAATCGAATCATCTAGCGTTGGGTTTCTTAGAACGGTGCCTGATATGGATTTTGCAACCATCCAGACTGGGCTGTCCTCAGATCCCCTGCTACAAGTGACTATCTTTTAGTGGGTCAAACTCGGAAATCCCAGCGCTAAACCCACTGAAAAACAAACCTAGGTCCAGTAGAGCGGTTAGAATAAGGGTACAAACTTTTTTCTGTAGTCTGTTTTAGTAGGGGAACCCTCCCCAAAAAAAAGTTTTCAAAAAGGGCACTGGGGGACCTAGAAACTAAGAAGCTAAGTTGAACCGGATTTCTGGGCTTGAACCAAGAAAACACAGACCCGAAAGGCTCAAAAAACAAACCCACGCTAAAACCACTAAAAAGCAAAGTAAGAATTCGGATGGTCGGTTGAGGCTACACACTCAGACTGGTCTTGGCCGCTGCCCGCCTCGCAGGCGCTCTTGCCACAGCCGCCGCAGCAGTCCTCTCCGCTCTCCCGCAGCAACGTCAGCAGCTCCGAGGCCGTGAGCACCGTGTCCACCTATGGCGGCCAGTGGATGGTGGCGAAAGCCATTTCGCACCACGAAGGGAAACCGCAAAAAACAACAACAAAAACATGGGAAACATTGAAACCATGGTTGGAACCAATGGATCCATTTCAATCTTTCCCAAGTTTGTGTTTGGACTCAGCTTTGAACACCTACTGTGGATGGACGAACTCCTGGCGAATGAATAAGGGGGTTGTCCCCGTTTAGTGGGGGGGGTTGTCACTCTTGGAGGGAACACCCTTCTATCAATACTGTGGATGTTTGCGAAATCCATTTCGCACCACTCTGAAACCATGGTTGAAACCATTGTGCGTTGGTATTTGCAGGGGATTCATCAGAAACCAGGGTTGCTTCGGTGGTGCAGTATTTCGTCCATCCACAGCCTAGGAAACCATGAAAAGCCCCGGATTGTTGGTATTTGCAGGGGGAATCGAATCATTCCAGGGTTTCTTGGGTGGTGCAGGATTTCGTCCATCCACAGTAGGACAAGTAGACCCAGCCGCGGAAGGTTCTCCGAAGATCTGAAGCTCCAAAAATCAGAGAGGAGGAAATCGAATTGGAGTACGTAGCATTCAACAAAACTATTCTTGGGCAATACTACTCTTGAATTGGGAAAGAAGATTCCAGAACTCCAGAAGGATCTTAAAAGGAGCTTCGGTTCATGTTCCCATTTGATTTAGTGTTGCTGGAACTTCCTACTTGAGATGTTGATTTGAGCATCCATTTTACTTAGTACTGTGGAATTTCATGAATTTCAGTAGTTAGAATTGCTCAGTAATGGGGCGGTCATGTGAGCTCGGACTAATACCGTTGTAAACTGACTAAAAATAGTTTTCTGGAATTATGAATGTATAAAATGAACAAACAAATGTACTCAGCGTGGCGCATCATTGGGCTCCTCTAAAGTGATCCGGGATTCCCTCTGAAACGGGATACCAGCCTGCTAATGGAACGCGGGGTTATAACTTACGAAGGTAGAAAGCCGGGTAAATACCAAACAGCAACATGAAGCAAACTCATACCAAGCCTTACGAAGAAGCTAACAAACATCCATCTGCACAAACAAATGCCGCAGTTCACTCACTAGCTAATGTCGGGAAGCCCCACAACAGAACAGCTGGGCCCTCCCTCAAACACCAGTAGGCCGTGTAGAGAAATCAATGAGAAATCAGATATGGAGGTTACATTTTGGAGGGAAATATTGTCTGCACATGCCATTTGCTGTTTGCCACTTGCCGACTTGCATTGCATTGAATGGCGCCCAAAATGCTTGACGGCTTGTATCCGCAGTCCGCAAAGGCTGATAGCAAGTTGTCAGCTTGCAGCAATGTTGCACGTAGATACGTGCTGTGAACCGTCCACACACATTACCAAGGTCAAGGAAGAAGGCCGAACCGCTGTCATGCAGCCCGAGCACTTGCGATGCATATCCTCTTGGAAACCGTTCGTCTCAAACACGACCATGCTGATCTGTGCAATGAACAAACAACCCCCATCTAAATTGTCAAACAAAACACCTCTGTTGCTTTCTGCTCCCCTGCTGAAAGTTTAACTTTTAGTGGTTTAATGGAAAACCCATTAGTTGGCAACAAAGTTAAAGTCCTAACATCCAAGCAACATGCACGAAAAAGATACCCTCTCCAAGCAAGCCGGATGTTTTTTTGAACGCCGCGCATTCCGGGAAACGTTTGATCCATACTCCCGGCCTCTTTGATGCCAGGCTCTCCGGGCCTCAAGGCCGCTGGATTCCTGTGAACTAACTCAGCAAGTGCCCTCCCGCCAATCAACGTTTTTTGTTTTTTCCCTGTCAGGTTTTGTGCTTGGTGGGAGGGTAAGAAGTCAACATGGCGCCTGAGGTGTTCTTCTTTTGAAGGGACCTGTCAGGTTATATGCTAATTGGTGGGAGGGGAAGCCATCTACAATATCCGGCGAGGGAGGCTTAGAGCGGGCCCATGCATTTCCCATTTACTATCCAGGCTTGCCCCAGGGCTGAAAAAAGGGGGCCGGACGGCCTTTTCTCTACCATACAGGGGGAAAAGGGTCCCAGCCGGGGTGCTTTTTTGGATAGAACGACTTTCTCCTTGCCGAAAGAAGCCAAGGGAAAAACTGGTGGCTCCTATGCGAGGTGGTTGGAAAACTTTGGCACTGGCAAATCTAGTCGCCGGTTTCAGGGTGCTGCTTGAGTTCGCGCGCTCGCCACACGTAGTTTGGTTAAGGTTGCCTCAAATTGTTGGACACCCTACAGTTTTGGCCAAAAGCTGTCTTCAAGCTATCACAGTTGATCAAGTGCTCATGCATCCATACTGTGCTGGTAATGGGTTTGGAAAAATCACAAGTTCTGCGATACCAATTGGATCATATCCATGGTTACTTTGCCACCTTGAAGTGGATTTCTTGTATGCCAGAAAGTGCCCCAAAAGAGTGTTTCCCACAAGCATGGCGCTGGTTGTGGAAGTGCTTGGAGTTGCACCAGGCGAGCTTGAGTCTGCCGCATTCCTTGCAGCTCCCACACCCGCGACGGCATTGCGAGGGGTCCCTCTATGGTTCAAACGCCAACAGCAGCCTGCAGTCACTTGCAGCATTCTCCATCATGCGCGCGTACATCAAGATCCGTTCAGAGAAAGCTCCGCAAACAGAAGAGGCCAACAAAATCACAAAGGGCGTGGATGGACTACTTCAGGTGAGTTTCAGCTGACACCTCAGTAAACATGGCCATCCAACACCCTGTGCTGTCCGCACTTTTCGCCTCTTTGCCTTGGAAGAAACCGAGCCACGCTGACGCGTGGCCGACCGCGGACGTCGAGTCGCGCGTCGACTTGGGGTTCCGGGCACCTCGAAGCTGGGCCGGGCGGCCTCGATCTTGCGATCGTAGCAAGGCTGCACCTGCGAAGCAACGGGGCGCCGCCACAGCCCGGAGCTCGAAGCATTTGGGCAAACGGGAAGCCAAACAGTTTGGAGGTACCCAAGAAACAAACTGGGCTCGTCTTTTGAGGGTCCCGTTTTCCCTTGGTAGAGGGGGGCCATCCGCATGAGAACTTTCGTTGCTTTGGCTTCGCTGGCTTAAGCATACGGAGTTGGACCCCGGAGTAAGGCACCTCCGTCATGGTGTTCCCGTTGTGAGCTTGACGCTAAATAGGTGGCCGCACAAACAAACCCTGAGCCAACAACATAGCATACATAACATTAAAACAAACAAGCCAACTAAATAAGGCAAACATTAACATAATGAAACACAGAAGAAACACAGAAACAACAAACAACCAATTGACTATACGGGAGCTTGGCTTATTTTCTTCAGGGTTTCGACTTACTATCTCCGAACAACCCCCAGACCTGTGCCATTTTCCCATGGAATTGGAGGTACTGGAAACCCTGTTAGACTGAAGACACGTAATTTCAAGTTGCATCACCCTTCAAATTCGACTCCTTGGGTTTTGACGCAGCTGGGCAGAAGGCCAGTAGACGATTCACATGAACTGGCCTTCTTGGCCTGCTTCCCTGCCTACTCATGGAGAAGGCTTCGGGGTACTTTAAAACAGAAACTACATCAAAACAGGGCCATGGTGGCAAAACACTTTACGGAATAGTTTTTTAGCCCTTCATATGTGCTCATGCTCAATATGTTTATTCCTCTTTGGCGTGTTTTAAGTCAAACCAAGGGCCCAAGGACCTGCGTTGGCCTCCACGCAAGTCCGCGTTTGCCAAAGCCGCCGGCAGCCGGACAACTTCGAGGAGGCCACACCAGCGAAGATGGTACTGTCCAAGAGTTCTTTTGCCCGCTTGAGGGCGGCATTTCGAGGAGGCGCTCCTCAGCATGCCCTTAATCAGGAGCTGTCAGGAAATATTCAGAGACTTGCCGTGAGTCGCCGTCAGCCATCGCGCTCCCACACCTCATGCTCATGAATGTGCCCATGTAAGATTCACCACTTGCTTTAAACACCTCATGATCAAAAAGCGTGCAAAAAATCTGGCTGAAGTGAGCGGCCGCAAAATAGCTCTCCACACTTATCCGGGCAAGGCTCGCCAGTACCAGTGACCCAGATCCTTCCGCGGCAAACGCGGTAGAAACCAGCCGCCGTCCTCTAGAACCCCAATTAGAAACCGGTCAGTGTTCTCCCTAGAAACTGGTAAAATCTCCGAAACAACTGGGCGAATTCAATTTCAATTCCTCTCAAATTGCCGACGTGACGGACCTGCATCATGGTGAGCTCGTTCTCCCGCCAGATGAGCTCGCCATAAAATAGGCGGGCAGAACATTGCTTGCCTGATACTCAAGAGATATTTTGGTTTAAGAGCACCCCCAAAAAGCCCCCTCCGCATTCTAAGTACCCTCCCAATGAGAAAATCTGGTTGAACGGGTAGTGTAAGGGGCTGAATAATTAGAAAGGGGTTGCGGGTACTGAAAATCCATATTTAGTACTGATTGAGAGTGAAACGATTTTCTACTGTTTAACCCCTTACACCCCTTTCCCCCCCCACACACACACACACACACACACACACACACACACACATTTTAGATGGACCCACGTTGCTACGCTCCCCTCCAGGTAGTTGGTTCACTATGGCACTGGTACATAAGTTCCAACATACAATAACTATGAGCCCTAACAACTTAGTGTCAGGTGCAGGGGTTCGTCCATCCGTATCCCAGAACACAAACCTGTGCTCCATTGAACGATGTCCCAGTTCAACGTTGATTCCGGCTGTCCGTTTCCTAGGCTTGAGCAATTGAAAGAAGCACCTCTAGCACGTAACAAAGAGTTGTTTTCCCAAAGCTCGCCCCTTGGACACCTGGGCTTGTCCGGGCGCAAGGATCTCTGGGCTCCATGGACTTATGTCGTTTTACCTGGTTGGTGAACTCCCCCCGCCCTCGGATGACCACAGCCCACTTCAGGTAAGTGGTCAATATTCCCAGTTCACAAGTGACCTAAGTGGGATCTCCCGTCACGTCTGGGTGTGGGTCAAAATTAAACCGCCAGGATATGGGCCGCAGAAAAAGACGGCCTTGTTTCCACTTACCAGGGTTCCATTTGGGTATCTATTTCTGACCCACACCCATATAACCCTCTGACCAAATGGCTAGGGCCATTCACCACCAAAATGGGGTCCAGAAAAGCCCGCGCCAACGGGGCTCCCGGCGAAGACGTGGTACACCTCGCTAGGCTTCACCGGCTCCCAAGACGCCTTCGAAAAAGAATCCGACTCGACGCCGACGCCCTCCGCTCCAAACCACCCCCAAAACTCGGAGCCTTCAGCAGAAAGGTGCCCGGTCTGCACCCAAATCAAAGCCCGCTGAAGGGCAGCCTCCTGTTGTTCAAAAGTGGAGCTTGCCTCTAATTGGTGGTTTGGAGCTTGGTTCTTTTGGTGGTCTGGAGAGGTTTGCCATGAAATCCCAATCCAAACCCATGCAAACCACCTGTGACGCCTCACCAAACAAAACACGAGCTCACGCTCACTCCCCTTGACCAAAGTCCTAACCTTTGAATCGGCTCCCCGAAAACTTTTTCGACGAAATCCCGTCCCGCCTTGGGTCGATTTGGTTGTTGGGATCGAGAAGAGATGTTTACCGGTGAAACCGAAGTGGAGAACAAACTCATGAGGCCAGGCGCCTAACAAAAAAAGCAAAAAAAGAAAAAGAAAACAAGGGCTGCCTACAAAAGCAACCTGCGCTGATCTGCAAAACCATCGTAAAGCAATTGATAGATTACATTTAAGCCCTTCCAGATTCTTTCAGAAGGGCATTGTTGCCCTGCTGAGATGATTTGTCCGAAGAAGCGTCAGAACCTTTTTGAGGCTGTACCGACAAGGCGAACACGCTTGCCAACGAGCAGCTTTGTAACAGAATTCACAAAGGGACATCGACTAGACAAACGTCCATTCAAAAGCTAATGATCCCCGCACACAAAATGCGGGACATCGTGCTCGGACCGTCTGGGTCTCTCGCTCTCTTTCTCTCTCTCTTCTCTCCCTCTCTCTGTTGCTATTCCTTTTTATTCGCTTTCTTTTCTTCTTCTCTCTTCTTCGTTATATGGTTTTTGTTCTTTGTGTTTCTCATTTTCTGTTTCCCTCTTCCTTTTCTTTTTTTGTCCTTCTCTCGCTCTCTCTCCCTCTGTCTACCTATGTGTCTCTCTTTCCGCATCTTTACCCGCGCATCTCGGCAATTCCGCAGAACCTGAAAACCCCCGAAACGCATGACACGTGGCATAGCACGGACCAAGAGTGCCATACATGCGCAGCTACAAAGAAAGTGTGGATTCCCCATGATCGAATGTTGCTCAACATGCTCAACATAATATGAGATGAGCTACGTCCATGCTTCATGCAAAGCGATGACTCATATAAACAAACAGTGATATTCATACAAACACTTCATGCCTAAGTTGTTCTTTGTGCGCCTGCGGTGTTCTCTCAGATATGAGGCTGCCAGTCTCCAAAGTAGGGTGACCTGTCAACTCAACCCTGTCCTACCCCATCCCATGGGGCCCCAAACCAAAAACGCTTTGCCATGATTGCCTCCCTATCTCGAGGTCCCGAATCTTGGGCACTCGGCCTTATCGCAACCCCGTCCTCAGGTTTCCGGAAGCGACTCTCCAGTTGGCTCTGCAAGGCGAAGAGCGGGTTGCTAGCCTCGGGACGGCGCTTGCAGTCCAGCGAGCAAATGCCAGTCACCAAAACAGGGATCCTTACACTATACACCTGAACATTGTTTTGTAAATGGCGGTTTCCCTTTATTTTGGTGGAAAAAGAACCATGTTTCAACTGGGCAATATGTATCTTTTAAGGAGCCCTGCCAAACTAGATGTCAATTCGGATGAGGCCATGTTGCTAGCAACATGAACTTGCGTTTGCTAGGCAGAAGAGAGATGGCCCTGCCTCCAATGTGAAAAGTCCCACGACTTTTTGCCCCAACACACGATACACAGCTGCGGCGCATATGGAACAAAGGCACCGACCAAGGAAGCTTTTGCAAGAAACAACAGCTTTTGCGAGAAAAAAAAAACAACAAATGCGAAAATACCTAACACAACATGACCTCAGATGCATGGCCTGACTTCTCCAAGAACCGCAAGAGGAACATATCCCTTTTCAGGCCATGAATCGCGAGCGCTGGGAAGCCCACAGGCCATTGGTTTTCACTTCGCCTTGGACACTAGGCCGACGCAGTGTCATCGAAAGGTTGGGCCAGCCACATCTCCTTACTTAGGTTTCCCATCGGGGTTGGCCTTCAGAGCAATTCTGCCCATCCATGGCACCAACAGCAGAACAATGACATCGGCCGCATGAGTCATGCAGCTTGAGACAGACACAGAAAGAGAGAGTGAGAGAGAGAGAGACAGAGAGGCAAAAAGAGACAAAGAGAAAAAAGAAGAAGAGAAGAACCGGAGATAGAGAGACTAGGTCCTCCAGTAGAGAGGTTAGAATCAGAATTCCAACTTGTTTTTCTTCTTTTTCTGTAGTCCCTTTTAGTAGGGGAACCCAAAACCCTCAAAAAGCTACGGTGAGAGGTCGGGCACCTAGCTGGGGGACCAGTGACCAAGTCGCCCGTCCAAGACCCCCGGCGCGCCAACGTCTGTGGAGCTGCCTTCGGTTGTGCGCCTCCAGGAGGCAGGTCTTCACCAGGCGGCCCTGCCTCGGATGGAAATGGTCAGCCTCGGCAGGTCCTTTTTTGGGGGACATAGATGGATTTCCCTGGTAGATGAGAAACAACCACCAGGTAAAGCAGATAGATGGCCCTGGTAGATGAGAAAAAACCACCAGGTAAACCAGATAGATGGCCCTGGTAGATGAGAAACAAAAAACACCAGGTAAACCAGGAATCGCCATCTACTTTTCGAGCAAAACAACCAAAAAGGACACCTATGGTCCCCAGAGACCCAGAACAATCGCAGGAATCGCCATCTACTTTTCGAGCAAAACAACCAAAAAGGACACCTATGGTCCTCAGAGACCCAGAACTGGTCAACTGACAAGCCAGGTACCCTCCCACCGACTAACACGGAAGTGCACAAAAGGGCTGCTTTCCTCTTGGAAAGGTGGCTTGTGCAAATCCATGTTAGTTGGTGGGAGGGTTAAACTGAAGAGAACCCAAATACTAGGACACAGGTACACCATGGCTCAGTCCGAAAGCAACTACAAAAGCAGCTCACAAATGCAAGTAGAAGGATTTGCACATGTTGCAAAACCTGGAATGACAGCATCCTGAAGTAAAGGACCTACATCAGGGAGATCTGGCTTTACCCCTGAGTCAGTAAGGTTGCCAAGTCGCCAAACTATAACCCTGGTTGGCTGGTAGGGGTCAACATTACCCAACTACGCAATGGAACATGCCTCTGCCTGCAGGGTACCAACCTGGGATGCATAGCAGGTAAACACAGCAAGAGCCCGGTAGGCGTGTGTAAAGACCGCATAAAAGGGATACAAGGGGTATACAAGAAGTACGAATAATATACTGACGCGTGTCAAAGCTATCCAATGTCATCAATGAGGTTGATGTTACCACTGCGCATTCTCCAGCACGTCCACGAGCCATTTCGTTGCACATTGCGCCTGGTCAATGATAGCGCACAGCGCTCTTCCAAGGCACAGGTCAGCGCGGGTGGTGTTCCTGGGAGTAAGGCTAAGCTACGTTTCTGGCGACACCAGCCTGGCGCTTTGTGACGGAACTCCAGAGTTGGGGTACATTGATCATTCCTCATGGGCAACCAAAACACTCCTCCCCGAATTTCCCTTCAGGTGGACTTCCGAACAAATTCGTCCCTCGTTACCTTGGCTCATCTGAGCGGATTGGCGGTAGCCCAAAAGGTCTCCAGAAACACAGGGGTCGCTGGATTTCCCTTCAAAAAAAGGCAAATTTCCTGGTGGAAAACCCATCGAAACCGCCCACTTGTGGGGGCAGGTTACCCAAAAACAGGAGACGTTGCGAAACACCCGGACACTTGGGAAGTCGCAAGTGAGTTTCTCGCATGCGGCCGCGGCCTGACGGATTTTGTTATTTTCTGTGTGTGTGTGTGTGTGTGTTTGTGTTTTGTTTAACGCACAAAAAAAACTCTCGGCCGCGCAGCTTGGAGTAAACAGCCGGGCCGTGGCTGGTGGCCGTTCTCCTCATGAGTCTTGACGACTGGGCCCAGGTTTTGAAGCATGTCACGATGGGGTCCATCCTTTGGCAGGGCGTGCCAAACAAAAAAACGGGCTGCTGGTTTTTGTTATTGAAACCCCTACTAAGAATGAACAGAACCAAACAATCTAAAAAACAAAACAATCATGGCAAGAACCGTGAAGAAACTCACGCCATATTCTTCTGGCCAACTGTTTTGACTTCGTGGACGGTGAGATGCGGCCCCATTTCTCAAGCAAGCTCTGCCTTAGCCCATCCTTTCCCACGGGCGCCCAGGCACAATCTGCGGCGGCCGGATGGGGCTGAGGTGTGGCAACACCGAGGGGTCCACCACCTCAGGCGCAGGTGTGGCTGGGGTCAAGGGACAACCGCCGGAGGGCGTTTTTTTTTTGGGCAGGGGGGAAACATCGGCATGCGCCCTTTTTGGGGTTGGTTTAAAGGGGGGAGGAGGGGACTTCCAGAGGGTCTGGGTTGGATGTGCCCTTTTGGGGGTTGTAGCTTTACAGGAAAAAAAGGAAAGGAACCACCAACCAGGTTGGGGGGTTCCCCTTTTTTTTGGGGGGGAGGTGCCCCTTGAGGTGGTTGGCACTGGGGCTCTTGGCATATCGCGCAACCCTTGGCGCAAAGTCTGGGCTGGCTTGGGAGACCCGGTTGTAAATGCAAGCTGATCGATATCAAGTCCAGGCTTCATAATATAGCACGCTTGCCTCGAGCTGTGAAGCCTGCGTCGCCCCAAGCAAGGGTTTCACTCACTTTGCACGCCTCACGGAAAATGTGATAATTTCCTTCGGCAACCTCTCAAAGTTATCCGGAAAGAACTGGCGGATCTCAGTTGCATCTTTGTCCACAATTCGGCGTGAATTCTTTCGTTCTTGAAACTGGACCTTCGTCACAATTCAGCTGGTCTTTCCGCCCCTTCGCTTCCATTTGCATCCGCCCCTGAAACAAACAATATGTCCAGCAGTGGTAGGTTCCAATAAAAACCCAACAAAGGGAAAAAAGAAAAGACAAAACAACGCATCTTCATTTCATTTCAAACGGAAGTTCGGTGGCCCCACTCTCGAGCAATTTCCTTCGCTTCGGAGCGCGCGGCCCCGGGCGGCCCGGGCCTTCTCCGCATAGAGCGTCCAGCCTGGCCATTCGCGCATGGGGTCCCGATTTCGAGTGAACTGAGGAGAGCTGGGAGTGGTCAATAGGTTTTCGTTCTAGGCCCTCCAGATTTGAGAGGTTAAAATTTAGGGCACCCACCTTTTCTTTTTGGTCTATTTTAGTTGGGGAACCCAAAGCCCCAAAAAAGCTACGGTGAGAAAGGGCACTACTGGGGGTTCGCCATGGCACCTGACGCGGTAGGTCCCTACTAGAGGATTGTTTTTATCTTGCAGGTGCCCTCCTGGTGCTACGCTAGTGGAGGGTACCCCCAAAAATAGGTACCCAAAATAGAACCCTAGTAAATTGAAAAATCGGGTGCCTCCCAAAATGGCGCAAGCCCTGGTAAATGGAAAGGACTAAAACCTGCGGTCTAATTCCTGGTCGTTTAGTTTTGATCCATATTCACTTGAGTCACAATCAACACCTGGTGGGTTCAGCTTGGGTCATTGGGTTGGACTTAGGGTGTGTCAATTTGGGGTGAGGTTAGGTTCACGGTTGGTGGGCAAATCGGTATTAAATGGTCTACCCAGAACTATTCTTCAAGAACTCAAAGGTGGCCGCATCCATTTATGGTTGTCCTTACTACACTCCAACTACCCGGGTTGTGATTGTGGCTCATTCGCTGGTTTCTATCATCAGACATGTGAACCATATCCTACAGCTGGCAGATGACTTCTCTTGGGCATCATGCATGTGCAGGAATTTGACCATTCAGGAGTTGAAACCTGAAACGGGTCCCCTCCCGCAAAATGAGGTTCCTCTACAAACTGCTCTTTGTGTTGCTTTTCTTCAGCTTCCATACTACGTAGTATTTGCGGCAGTGTATCTCGCAATCATTGCATCCTCAAACAATGGACCGATTTTGGAACCGCATGAAATGAGCGCGTTGACCCTCCAGCCTGGGCAGTGGGACGTCAGCAGCGGGAGCCTTCCTGACAAACCGAGAGATAAGAACAAACGTGACATCCTGGTTTCAGCTGAATTGGTTGACGTTGGAAGGGGAGCTTTTTTTTTAGCAGTTGAGTGGGGATTTCCCACTGAACCACATTAAGCAAAAATGTAAAATGCTTCCCAACGACAACCTTAGAGATCAACAGAACAATCATGATAGAACCGTCAACATGAACTCCTCTCCTGGTTTCAGCGGTTCCCGCCGGTTCCTCAAATTTCTTCAGGTCAGAAACTCGTGCACCAGCAACAAATCAGATCGCAAACATCACCGCCCCAATTCCCCAAATCGCCTCATGTCTGGAGCGCCTTGCTACTGGAATTGGTTTTGCCATGATTTTTGCTCCTTAAACTCCTGGTTGTTAAATCCCACTTGCCATGATTTTGCTCCTAAGCTCCTGGTTTTCCCATGGTTTTTGCTCTAAATCCCTGCTTCTCGGGAACCTGCCCCCAAGCCGCGGTCCTTTGCGACTTCCGCTGCTGCCGCCAGAAGTCGCCTCGACTGAAAATTTTGCGGCGCAAGGGACCTAAGAGTCAAAGGCTAATTGAATAGATCCAGATTGCCATGAGTCAAAAGCCCGTGCCCCTGAGTGAACATCCGATTCAATCCAACCACTAAAATAGGTTCGAAAATGGGTGGTGCACCGAAAACCCCCCAAAATGGACCATTGGTTTTGACCCACAGCCATACATGACCCATGGCCATGTTTAGACCCTGTGAGCAAATGTACCACAATTAAGCCATAACTAATGATTAATTCACCCATACCAGGATTTCAAAAAAACAGACGTATACCAGCAGCCTGTGAAAAGAGCTCGTTTCGAGAGACAAGCCATGGCTCAATTGAAACAACAGCTTCTTTTGGACTTGGCGGTCCGCTTTCAGATCTGCTAAACGTCACTCACTTGGTGAAATTCAGAAATCCAACCACCTTTACCAACTAAACCATCTGAAAGCTTAAGGAATTGGCCGGGTGGAAACTGCCCAGTCTGCAAGAAAGAGATGTAGATCCCTGAGAAATCTCTGGGCTCGCCCCCTGCCTTGAACCTCTGGATGAACTCTGCTTTGCCTGGCGATCGAACCATGAACCATTGCACCAAACACCGGTGAACTGTTCTCCTTCTTGGCTCGATGTCACCCTTTCAGCTTCTATATGTGCGGCTGTCTAAACTCCTTGTGTGTCGCAATGGACACCGCAAATTTGGGAGGTCCCCGTCGCTTTCCACGTTTTGTTGTTCCAGGGCATCGCTCTTACGTATGCTCAATTACGGGTCTGGAAGACAGGGCGCAGAGCTGGTTAAAGGCAGCCTACAACAGCACTCAACATTCGTAAGAGTAGCAACTAGGGATGAGAGTAGGCCTGCAACAACTTTCTTTGATTTGCGGTAAGGACGGCAAGGAGCGAGCACTGCACACGCACTTTCAGGCATCGGAGGCCGAACTGTCGGAGCTACTGCTTTCAGAGCTTGTTTCAGAACCTTGTAGCCGTTGCCTTTTTCTGTGGAGCACTGCCTTCTTCCCCGCTGCTGCTTTCTGCGCCCTCTGTAATCTTTTTTGATACTTGCGGACAGCTTCTTCCATGTCTGGCAACTGAATGGGCAACTGTTCAACTTGGTGACCTTTGGGCATCGCTGAGGGCATCGCTTGGGCATCGCTTTGGGCATCGCTTTGGGCATCGCTTTGGCGCCCATCTTCTTTGAAAAATGGTTTTGCTTCAGGCATGGCCACCCGGAGCTTCAAACAGCGGCAACCGACAATGGTTTCTCTTCAGCCAGAAGCTGCCAAGTCCTGATGTAATGGGTTTCCGTTGTTTGGAGGGTCTCCATTCCGGCTTGAACCTCCACGATCAAGCGAAGCAAGCAACTTCACTCTGCAAAAGCTAATGTATGCAACACAAGGGCATCGTTTTTGGGAGGTCCCCATCGTTTCCCACAGGAATCTGCACTTTTGGAAAACCGATGTCCACCGAATACATATCTCCATTGACGCGAGTTTTGACGGTTGCTCATATGGTGGTTTGGAGCCGGCTGGGTTTTTATTGGCGAGAAGTGTTTTCCCGTTCACCCACGAGAACCGGGGGTTCAAATCCAAATCCAAAGCACCAATCCAAACCAGCAAAGGGTAGCTGACAGCGAATAAGAAAAAAAAAAGGCGGCCGGCCCTTCCAACTCTCTACCCCCGCACCTAAAAACATGGCGCTCTTATCGCGATGACTTTGCCCGTCCTCTTGCATATCTTTCTCCAAGGCAAGGCATTTAAAGGTGTTGGGCTGGGTTTAGCTTGGGTCCAGCGTTGGGGCTTGGGTGTCAATTTGAGGTTAGGTTCACCGTTGGCGGGTAGAGTTGGGTTTGGCTTTGGGTAAGCTTGGCGATTTACCCTGGTTGCTGTTGACTCCTCTGCACAAGTTTTAACTTGTGGGTCCCCTCTGCAAAATCCTGCTATAACCAACAAGTCAAGGTCCAAAGATGCGTTGCCAAATAGCCATAAAGCTACGATTGGATGAGTTGCGGCAGGCTTGGGTTTGACACTCGACCCGTACGGCTCGTTGGCGTTATGCCCTTCGGATTGAAGCTGCCGGCTGCAGTGTGTATTTAAGAGTGGCTTTGTGGGACTCCGAGGATGGCTCAACATTTGCTCAGCTCGGCAGTTTGGGATACTTGACGTTGGTTTTGGGGAGCAACAATTCTCGGATTTCAGAAGTTAAGTGGTTGGATTTCCCCCACTAAGTCACAATAAGCAAGCATGTAGCATGTTTGCCACCAACAGCCATGGATAGGGTATGTTGGCTCGGCTCGGCTTGCCGAGTCGGTTTACGAGCGCTGGCCCACGCCTTCCAATGGTGCCGTTTCGGGAGCCATTGGGCGCCATGTGGTGAGCTGGGTCGTGCTTTGCCTAGCCTAGGTCCTCCAGTGGAGAGGTTAGAATATGGGTACCCACTTTTTTCTTGTTGGTCTATTTTAGTAGGGGAACCCTCCCCCAAAACAAGGGTAAAAAGGGCACTACTAGCAGTAGGAAGTGGTGTGTGTCTGCCATGGACATCAAGTGGCAGCTTATGGCGATCTTCAAGGGGCCGCTTCGCCAACACTGCGTGTGCCTTCGTGCTGGTGTCTTTGATTTGACGGGACCCAGAAACACAAGCTTGAGCTTTTGGGGCCTTGACTACAAAAGTACCAGGTTCCAGAAACCAATAGCTTAGGCCTTTAGCTTTGCGCCAGCGAGTCAACATGTACCTTTGCCCTTGTTGCTCTTGAGTTGGGACGAAGAGTTCGTTGAACAGAAAGAACTCTGGAAGTCTGTGGGCTTGGCGGCCAGGAAAGACGGACACGCCAGATGGTAAGAAGTGAATTCGTGGATGGTTCGGGTGCGGTGACTTTCAGTGGTGACTTTTTGCTGCGTATCAATGTGTCAGCGGCTACGAGAGCTTCCGCCATGAAGCTTTTTTTACGGCTGTTTGCCAGCTGCGCATGGACATCTCAGGTAGCATGTGAGGGAGTTGGGCAGCTCGCTGATAGCCTTGGTTATTCTATATCTGTGCGATCAGTTGGGCGCTGGTTTGCTACTTGAACATGTGCTGGCTCTGACGTACGGAAAGAAGCTTGCATAACGAGGCTTTGCCAGGAGAGCATGCTTTTACAGATTTGCTTGTGACACCCAGGGCAAAGCAGCAAGGCGGAACCCAGGGCGGCTTATGCTTGGTTCAGGGTGGTGGCAGGGGTTGGGATCTGTTTTGGGGCAACGCTTGCTCGCCGGTTTCGTACGGATCCGGGGTGGAAACGAACAACATCCGGCAGGAAGAATAAATACCAAAGGAGCATCGCGCCCCTCAAAAGCGTCCCAGTTCGACACTTAACACCTTCCAATGAAGATGCTGCCTTGTCCAGGGGAGCGTCCTGTCTGCTGTTCGCCCGAACACCTTCGGTTAACTTGCAGGAAATTCCCTGACCCCCCGCCAAAAAAGAAGCATGCACCATCAGGGTTCCTTATGTGCAGTACACCCAAAAACCACCTGCTTCACAACGAGCCGGATCCTCGAAATCAGCGACAAGGGATACTTTTTCTGACAAATAGGGGGCTGGAAAAACGCGTCTTTATTCCATGCGGGTTTCGCTTGGTGAAGACTAAGAAGAACTATTTAGTACTTTATGCTATTTTGCGCCCAAGGTGATTTCTCATTGCCCATGAATTTGCCAGTCAACGTCCCCCCTAAGTGATAGGCTCTTCGGCTAAAGGGAACCGCCCCAGCTTCTGACAAAAAATACTCTAAAGAGCTGTTCTTTTCAGTAACCGCTTTTTGAGTGGTAAAGGGAACACCATGACGAGAACGGAAGCCATCTTAGCATCGGTTGGTGCTTTTGAAGGGAAACCATCATGAACACCGAAGCATTTTTGGGTGTCTGCGAAAACGAGACACATCCAACTGGCCCTGCTTCCATTTGCGCTTTCGCCCACTGGACAAGATGAGGCACATGTCCCTTGTCCCTTTAGCCGGTTGCGGTCTCAGTGGTAGCCGGGGGGATTTGGCACGCCCCATCTTCGATGGTCCGGTTGGGGCTTGCGTTGTCCGAGTGACATCGGGCTACTCAATACCACCGCCTCTCTAGATTCCCTTCAAAACCATCAGGGGAAAGCTCGTACTCCTTCCAAGCAACTGCATGTTCCCAGCATGGAAAGCTATGTTTTGCTAGAAGTTTAACTTTTTTGCGGGCAGCAGACAGGCCTAAAAAGCTAAGTTGAACCGGATGGCTGGGCTACCACCAAGATACGAAGCCTAGGGCCCCCCGGGTTTTCGCTTTCAGCAAACCCGAAACCGCCCGGTTCCGCGCGAAACGTGGCCCCCGCCTTCGAGCAGCGCTACGGCTTCCGCGGCGGAGGCGTCCAGTACATAGGCGGCCCCCAAGCGCCGTAGGCCCTCGGCGTGTTCGGAGCCAAGGAATAGGTCTCTAGGTCCTCCAGATTGAGAGGTTAGAATAAGGGTACAAACTTTTTTCGGTTGTCTATGGCGAGAAAGGGCATAACTGGGGGACGTAGAGTCTTTTTCTGGGGACGTGGCCAAGTGCCTTTAGCTCAGTTTTACATTAGTCCTATGAGCCATCGCGGATTCAATCTTAGGAGCATCGCATATCACAAACACATGGCGATTTGGTTGGGTTTCCCACCAGTCAACTGCAACTTGTTCAAAAACAAACTTTTGGTAGACATAAATATGGGCTTGCAAAAACAAGAGAAAACAGTCAAACAAAGACTTGCCGACATCAGTGCTTTCCAACCCCTCTTCCGGGGTTTCCGAGCCATTCTCCTTTTTTGGTCCTCCAAGAGTGGCAATTTTTGTCGATGTTCCACCAGTCAAGTGCAACTTTTGATTTGGGGGAACACAGTGACCTCTGCTAGTTAGAACTTTCCTACACCCAAACACTCCAATCAACCCAGGTGGTATCCCCCAACGGCCTCGGAACCCTCCGGAACCCTCCCTAAAAGCTGCTCCAAACCGCCCCAAAACCTATTTGACTCGATAGCTTCCAGCTGTTGGGGAAAAATGGTCGATTTTAGTCTTTCCCAAGACGTTGTGTGTTTCTGCGGTGGATGTTTGGGAGGCCCTGAAGAAGGGGGTGTGGAAGGTTTCCTACCCCGGTTGTACAAGTTTGCATCGCCAACCTGATCTGACGGACCTGTTCAGTCCAAAAGACCCAAAGGTGAGAAAAGCCGAAATTGCGTACTCATGGCTCATTTGGATAGATCCTCTAAGTCTTCCATGAACCACAGACTGCCGGATGCCAACTCATATTATATTTGTGGCTTGTGGAGATGAAGGCATCCCAAAACACATGGTCTTTCTTTCTTTCTTTCTTTCTCAAGCACCGAGAAGTCTCTGCTAAAGCATGAGGAGCGGTCACACCCTCTTGAATTCAGCCAGCAAAATCGGCCCCATCGGACAACAAGAGATGGAAATCCATGAAATGTCGGGCGCTGGCCATCCGGGGAAAAAGGGAACCATTTTTTGGGAAGACCATTTTTAGTGGGGCCACCGAAAAAAAAAAAAAGGGAAACACAATTGGTGCCGCTGAAAAACTGAGGTAATGCATGAAACACTTTGGGCCACAGCGCTGTTCCGCCAAATCGCTCCGTTTCAAAACGGGATCCGACAGCTCGTTTGAGCAGGCTCCCAAGAGGATCTGCTTGCGCACTGTGGATGGAGGAATTCCATTTCGCACCACCTAATAAGACCCAAACAATGTTTCGCTTCCCCAACGCAAATACCAACAAACAATGGTTTCCGCCATGGTTTCCAAGTCGTGGTGCAAAACGGACTTCGCAACCATCCACAGTAAGTCGCTAATATGTGTGGGATGGGGTGGGGTGGGGTGAAAATGGGGTGGGGTTTCATTTCGTTGGGACTGTCCCTTGGACAGTCGTCCCGGACCCCATGTACTGCTTTGCGCCGCCTCTGCGGCCTTGCGCATGCACATCAGCGGGCTTTCCTGGAAGTTTCGAAACGCAGCCAGCGGCGCGCTTCATGTTGAAGGTCAACGACTGGAACAAACAAACACATATATAAAACAGGCGTGTGTTAGTTTTTGAGGACCGCTTTAAGCTTGGTGTAAAGGGACCACAAAAGGACAATCACCAGGCAGGTTTGTTTTGAGGGGCCTCTAGTTTGGCACACACACACACAAATACATCTATATAAATTACTGCGGGTAAGTCCTGGTTTCGTGGCTCAAAGAACACTCAGTACAAAGCCGCTCCTTGAGAAGTTGCCGACAGATGCCTATTTAGACCAAGGCATGGAGTGGGTTGCTTACATTATACACAAAACAATATGAAAAATATATGACACAATAATTCATCTTAAAAGCAACTAAAAAGACAAAGATAAATTAAGATACGAAAATAGTAAAATATGAAAGTCTTATAATAAGATCTTAATAACGTCAACAAAGGAAACAGATGAAAAGCATTACATTAAAAATAAATATTGTTACCATCTTCCATCTCTTTCATCTATTATTTCTGAGGCGCAGCCAAAGACTCTACAACATGAGAGAAGAGGTTGAGAGAAATAATGCTTGCAAATTTGTTAGTGGCAAAACTGCCACCTTGCAGATATTGCATTTGATATGGCAGGGGGGGTACTGAGGGCACGGGCTTGTGTATTCTATCAACAAAGGCTTGCAGCTAAACTGACTAAACCCGCCGATGCTGCGCAACGCAGCACGCAGCATCTTGACTTGCGCCAGGTGTCAGAGGTGAACCAAGAAGCAAAAGTGCCATAGGTAAAGCCCAATATCCTCCCCTAACATGGGATTGTGCACCAGGGATAAGGTCGAACAAACATCAACTGATGTCCGCAACATTATGGTTGTATTCCTGTTGCAACATTGCAACAGCTTCTTGTTTTGCAGCATGCAGCATGCCAATGCAGTTTGGACAGATTACTTGCACATCCCCCAACGAAAACACAAACTCAGCTGCACCCCGCAGGGGGTAAGTCAATCTCAGCTGCACCACACCACATAGCTTACGCATCCACAGGTAGATGTGTCTCGAGTAGAACATTGCATGTGATTTGCAACATGCGTAACTATCTCCTGGAAGCATCGTGAAGCTGAAGACGCCTCCAGCAACATGCTGAGCCAACAAATGCAGGGGACACACATGCAAAGGATTGATCGTCCGGGCAAGGTGCAAGTTTGCCCGCCAAACTCCCAAGATGGGCCAACGAAAAGTCAAAGAACTTTCTACTCACCACTGAAGTGGTCCAAACCCAAAACGTCCAGTCCAGCAACTCAGGAAGTGAGAGGTACGAAGGACGTAAACCAAATTCTGACCCCTTGCTGCGCAGAGAACTCTGAGAAAAGAATGGGTAGATTCCCCGGCTCAGAACTTCTGGAAAATCATTCTGGACGTGGTCAAAACGGGCCATGCCGTTTTCAGCACTCATTGCTCAGGACTCCCAGTAAATCTCGACCGTCAGACTTTCCAACCCAAAGGCCTCTTTACGCACGTTGAAGCTTTAAATTCCTTCAAAACATGTCAATTTGACCCCAACTGCTGCAGGCCCCAAACTCCTTAGAGTTCCATGCTGGGCCCCACTGAGCGTTGTTTCTGCAGGCATCAAGAGGGGTAATTCAGGGGGAGAACGCTCCCCCGCCCCAACATCCAGTAGCCCCTCCTTGGTGTAGGCTGCTAGGCTCGTTCGTGCCTGCGACGAAACGTATCGCGGCAGCATCCTGGAGATTCTAATCGACATCCTGCTTCGAACTGCGACGAAGAAGTCTCGAAGAAAAAAACCAACATCCGGCGGAATCTGCGTTTTGGAGAACCCTTCTTGAGAACTTGGCTAGCTTTGATGGAATTCGGCTTGTCGCTGAAGCGTCAGGATCTTTGCTTCATAGACACTTCGGACTACAATTCATGCAGCTCGCACAAGTGAACGGCCACCTTGGATGCTGCTGGCAACTCCATTTTCGGAACAGAAGCAGCAGTTTTAAATGTGCTGTTGTGCCAACTATGTCAATGTCAACGTAGAGGCGAGAAGCTATTTGCAACCGACTTTGCCATCTGGCTAGCCATCTCACATCGTTAAAGGTTCACCGGACGTGCGTGCAGACCTATGGGTGGATGAGGCCAGAGACAACATGTTGCGCGCTCCATCGGATTCAGGCGGTTAACCTCCAGGTCACTTACAAGAACTCATGGAGCAAATTGAGGCCGCTTAGATTCCCAAAGCCAGGAGCATAGCGCAGACATAAAGAAGTCAAAGCGACTGACAATATGTGGAGTCCAGCTTCATGTGGAGAACATGGGTGGCCTAGCCAATATCCAGAAAAAGGAAACAAAACAGAAAAAAAACACGTCGACCCAATTTGCCCGTGTCCTCGCTGGCGACAAACATTGACTTGGATCCAAAAAGTGAGATGCACACAGCCTCCACTTCAAACACTGCTCACCTCGCCAGCGCTTGTACATAATGCTCCGACTGCATCGAAATTCAGGGTAACAAAGGGGAAGAACAGGTGAAATCCACGCAACTGGCAACCCATACAGTAGCTAGCTTAATAACTCCGGGGGACCTAGAGGTGGGTACATGGTTATTCCGCAACCACTGAACTTGGTGTGCCAAGATTAAGTACCCTTTTTGTGATCTTGAAAAGGCAGCACCTTGACCGCCATCTGTTTGACCCCAAGCACGCACCTCTGCAGAGATGGACACCACGGTCAAGCGGGCAGCCTGCTTTGCGCCGTTTCTCTACGGGGGGCAACACCCAGAGATTTCATGGATGAAACACACTGAACTTTGCGTCTGAGGTCCCCAAAAAGAAACCGGTTTCTCTGAAGGTAGAACTTCCATGCTGGGGACATGACAGTACATCGCTGTCACTTGAGAAAAGGCCGGGTCCGGCAGCCATTGGGCATGTTCATTCAGGAGAGAGAGGGGGAGAGAGAGATTTCCGCAAAGAAAGCCTTGCACCTTAGGTGGCATGCAGGTAAGCACAAACTCCCACACACCAATGATGCACAAAAAATCCTGCATCCATTCAATACTCTGAGGCTGCAAACACAAAGTGTTATTCGCCTCTGTTGCGTAGCAGGGTCCTGACCATGACCTGAATGTGTTTCATTGACACAGAGACATTCGTTCCTAGACTGGAGGCTGAGGAAACTTGGTTGACGTTGGGTTTGGGGAGCAACAAATTATTTGTTTTGCAGTTAGGTGGTTGGATTTCAGCCAGTAAACCACCATAAGCAAAAATACGTAACATGTTTCCCAACAACCACCATGAAAGTGCCCTCGAACATAACCCAAACATCACAGGGATGAGCCTCAAACACCTTGAGGTGGGTGGGTAATCCTTTCAAGGAGTCTGCCCAATGGCCAGCTCTCTTGTGCTTTGTTAAGAACGCTTGGCACCGGGTTGAAGCCCGTGGATTTTCTGGCCAGATCCTGAACCGTCAAGGATATGCAACTTCACCAGGTAGAACAGAAGCTATTTCTTGTTTCCACTGGCTTTGAGCACTGCTCAATGCTTTTCTTCCATTTGCGTCTGCCCGCTACACAAAATGAGAAAGTATTTCCAATAGTGAGATCGATTCCCTTCTAAAACCAACAGAGCAAGATATGAAACCATATATTCATTTCAGCAAATGGAAGGTTAGACTCATTTTCTGACTGGTTTCTCCAAACAAGTCTAAAGGGTGTTTGGTACAAGGGAAAACTTCACCCCAAGATCTTCGGCGGTTTCTGCGGATTCTTCTTATTGTCCGAGCGCACCTGCACGCGCTTCAGGAACTCCTCACCACTCTGCTCTTGCCTGTATGCCGAGGCGTCGAATGCGACTCAGGGGTAGGAGCCCTGCGTTTCGGCTTCCCTTTTAATTAAAAGAGAAGGGGCTTCCCGTCACCGAGCCTCAGAAAGACACGCGACGCGGCTCTGAAGCCTTCGGGAAATTCGAGACATACTCGAAGCATCCAGTGAAACTTTTCCCACGGCTCGAGTGTGCTCAATACGGAGCAAAGCCATGTGCTTTTTAGAAGAGCCCCAAGGGTTCTAGGCAGTCAGCTAAAAGTCTAAACTTTAGTGGCTCAGCATGGACTCCCCCCCCACGAAACCCACAAAGCCCCAAGCGCCCCAAGGAACCGCACGCTTCGCTGGGGAACCCAGTGGCTATGTCAAGCCGGAGACCCTGAAATCCAAAAAATGGAACTTGAGCCCAGCGACACGGGCCGCTGCTATTTATAAGCCTGCAAGCTACTGCAAGCTGTTTCTTTTTTGAAGAAAAACACCAGACTCGCCGCGGAATTGCGCTTGGGATCCTTGCCACGGTGGATTTTTTTTAATCCACGGCGAGATATATTCGCAAATGCTAAGTTTCTGGGAACCCCGTGATCCACGTTCGCCTGATTGATCAATCAAACCCGCTGCAACATGAACATCCAGCTCCAACCTGTGGAGTAATCAAATGAGAAACTTGAAGACCCAACTTTTAGTCTCCTTGAGGTGAAGCTTTGCCTACCCTCAAATTGAAGGGACCCTCTCGTAGAACTCCTCAAAGAAAGGCTTGCCAGACAGTGGCCAGATTGATTCCCAAACCCTGTTGAGAACCAGCTGGGCATGTGTCAAAAAGTCACAATCAGAACCTGTAACAGGATCCCAAGAGGTAGAAAATTGAAAGGGCGGATCTCCGCCCTTATTTACTTCCATTCTGGACAAGTTGTGTCCGGTAGTGAAATCGATTCCCTTTAAAACCAACAGGGGAAATGATAAAACATATTCTTAAGCAAATGGAAGTGTACTTGATGGTTGGGATCCTTGCCCTTCCCGATCCGATTTTGATGGGACGGACGTGGCCTGTGGCTCTTGAACCGGTTCGGGCCCCGGCAGCAACACGGTCTCCGCGCTGGTCACGCAGCCGCTGCAGGCCAAGCAGTCGGAGAGGCTCACCTGCCCGATCTGCGCCTGCGAGCGAGCAGTAGCGAGGTTTCAATAAGGGTACCATTGTTTGTTGGTATTTACAGTTTTTTTTTGGGTGGTGCAGGATTTTGTCCACCCACACTAGGTCCTCCAGTAGAGAGGGTAGAATAAGGGTAACAACTTTTTTCTGTTTGGTCTATTTTAGTAGGGGAACCCTCCCAACCAAAAAAGGGGGAGAAAGGGCACCTAGCTGGGGGACCTAGGCTCTGGGCTCGGGAAACGATGAGGAACACCGCCCAACAAACGGAAGCTCCCAGGCAAGCGGAACCAAGCCCGGCCCTCGGCTTTCGGATCCAAGGGATGGGCTTTTCTGGGTGCTCCAGATTTGAGAGGTTAGAATCAGGGTGCCCGCTCATTTCTTTTTGGTCTGTTTTAGTAGGGGACCCCTCCCCCAAAAATGGGTAATCAGTCTGGGGTGCCTATTTTGACACATAGGCGTCTTGAAGGGAAGGAACCACAAAAACAAGTAGAGGAAAAATGAACATGGAACCCAAGTCCCCTATTTTGGGCTCCATGTTAACTTGCGACATATTGCCTCATGCGCAAGAACACGCTGCACGTCTCGGGACCATCGTAAATTCGCCAAACAAGTCAGCGTCAACTGAGGCATGTGGTTGGAAAGATGTTGAACCCAAGCGCCCCACAACAGTTCCGAGCTTTGGGGGTCAATGGAGTCTATGAAATCAGAATCGTCGATTCAATCTGAGCAGCTGAAAAAATCACTACCCTCCCACCAACTCACATGGAAGTGCAAAAAGGCCCTTTCCAAGAGGAAAGTCGTCTTTCTACAGGGCCTTTGTGCACTTCCATGTTAGCTGGTGGGATGGTGTTTGGTCGATGGTCAGTCCTGGAGGGTCCTTGGCCCACTCAAACTTCCCACGAAAGCCAGGCGCCCAATGTCCCAGGGTGAGGGCACTGGAATATCTCTGAACCCTTTGCTTTGAAGACTCGCCTGTGCTTGGTCATATAAGGATCCACTCCAATACGTATCCCTTGTATGAACCCCAACAAGGGTTAGCTCATGTCCTCTGTAGGAAACACGCACATGCGAGTGAATGTTTTTGGGCCTCCTGTGTTGCAATCACTCCACTACCGAACTGTCAAAATGCAATTTGCGCCTTCATCTATCTGGTACGTTGGCTAAGTCCCAGCTGAGTCCCATTCAGTTCCTATCAACACGTCGACAAGACAGGTCCCAGGCCTAGTTACAACTCATGATATCTCTTGGCATGTTTTATGATAACTGGGCTTGTCACATCACATAGAAAAGCATTGGCTAGAAGTTTCACTACCTCCTGTATGCTTGATTGCGTGCTTGATTTATGCTCGTGTGCAAAGCTTCACCAGTCAAAGTACATACCAAGCACCGAAGATCCAAGTTGACCCAAGACATCAGAATATTAATGGACTCCTTCGCTCCTGTCGCACGAATCCACCGAGGTCCTTAGCCATACCTGGTGTTCACCTCGCCCTACTACCAGTGGAAACCATAAAACCTTTTCTGGGGTCTCCTCCAAGCTGGCGTGACGCAGGGTCTAAATCTCAGGCAGAACCTGGGACAAATTTAACATGGCTTTTGACCTGCCAGAAAGTGGGCCATTTTTAGGGCACGAACCTCACTCATAGTGGCAACTATCTGCATCATAAATAGCCAATGGCATGGTAGCATTGCTCAACTGAAGCGAAGCTTACACAGTAACCTCTTGACCCAAGAATTGGAACCACTTGAGCACTGCCCCAAACCGTTGACGCTTGTTTCTACTAACATGGTAAGGTTTATATATGCCTTACTGTACTCCCTGTTCAACCAGGCAGAACCACCTACTAAGCTGGCCAACGTCTTTTGGGCGCCGCGTACCTTTCTCATATGCCTCCTCCCGTGTTCGCCACAGGCCTTGGGGTCGCTGCTGCTCTGCTTGGTCCTTGAAATTGCTGCTGGACTTCCCCAGGCAAAGCAGGGTATAGCTTGAGACATGCTACGTCATACAGCTGCTTGGAGGGGCATCCTGTATTCCGTGAGGATGACAGGGATGAAAGAGAAGAGCACTTCCAGCCAGAAGGAGCCCCAAATTGCCAACTCAGGCACCGGCAGGTGATACCATATATATATATAATATATATATATATATGTACATACATATATGTGTGTGTGCGCAACATTTTGGGACCTGCCAAAAGTCGCATACCAAACAATGGAACATATTGCCCAAACTCATGTTTCATCAATGCAGCAGGTACGTCCCATTTCAGGCTCATCGGACATGTTCTGGGAAGGATAAGCAGCACAAAAACCAGTGGGATCGAACAACTCGCGGAAGCGAGTTACTGTTAAAGCAAAACCGGACCCAATTTGGCAGCCTCGCCAGCGCCCTTTTTACCCCTTCCAAGGGTCGCGAAAGACCAAAAGAGGCTCCGCGTGTTTGGCGCGTTTTCAGTCCTCACATTATCAGTCGAGCCTGAAACAGCAGCTGTGTCCGGCATGTAAAAAGAAAAGGTGAAGCTAAGCTGAGGAGAGACTCCTTTGGCCCTGTGAGATGGCGATGGAAACATCATCTAGCACAAGCCCCACTGGTTCCCACGGAAAGTTGCCATCAGTTCAAACCGGACATGAGCCTATAGTCAGTGACATGTGTCCACAAGGGTGCGTGTGTGTGTGTGTGCCCTTTTTGGGGTTCCGGGCTTGATGAGGTTCGGTTGCTGCACCTGTGGAGCCTTGCGCGGCGCGCTTTTTTTTCTCGAGCCGATCTTCCCGTGGCTTTCGGGAAGCCAGTAACTTGGTGGACGTTGGGTTTGGGGAGCAACAAGTCTCTTCGACTTTTAGCAGTTCAGTGGGTGGATTTCGGCCACACCACCATAAGCAAAGATGTAAAATGATTCCCAACAACCATGCAAAGAAACCGGTTCCTTGCGTAACCAAGGGTAAGGATGAAGGATTACCCTGGAACAGCCCAGTTTGGAGTTGCGAACGACGTGGGCTTTTAGTGGGAGAAGCAACATGCCAATTTTGGAATGGCATCGCCGTTTGATTTCTGCGACCACTGTTTCGCGGTGAAAAGGACGATGGATTTCACCGTGACACAGCTGTTGGGTATGGCCGCGCATTTTCCTCGAAACTTGTTTTTTGGGCTTGCGGCCTTTCCTCTAGCTTTCATCTTTCCATATGGCCAGACATCGCCGGGGGCCATGCTTCCTGCTTTGTTCGCACGCAAGACTTACAGGCAGCGGCAGGTACCCATTTTCGCCAACGCGTCGGTTAAACGCAACGCCCGACCTAAAAGCTGAGCGCGCTTCTGAACAACTCTTCGGTGTTCTCAACACTGGTTACTACTTAGTCGATGATGAATTTAGCAATGCCCAGCATCGAATCGATAGGCCTAGACTCGAGTGGAGTTGGGTTTCCATTGGCTGCACATGGCCATGGGTCAAAATCCCGTACCCCCAGTGAACATCCCAATCCCCACTAAAATCGACTAAAATTGGTGGTGCACCTACCAAAAAATGGTACCATTGGTTTTGACCCACAGCCACATTCAAAGCCGTGCTTTCTGTGTGGTGAAATGAACAACGCTAGGGATATTTCTGGGCCAAGGACTGGATTTTCCACAAGGAATCCCTACATGAAGCTTGTTCCAACTATCTCTTTTTCATACCCTCTTTACCCTGGTCAAGGAAAACCAAGAGGAAGATCTCCAGTTTGGGAGTTCCAGTTTGAGATATCATACCGTTCTTGTGGTGCTTACCTGTTTCCCCAGAAGGACATGGGACAAATTGTGGGTCTGCTGAATTGGAGTCCCCGTGTTCCGAACCCAAACGAAGCAGCACATGTTGACCCTGAACCTCATGTGGGTCTCAGGAATTGGATCCAACATTTCCAAAACGGCTTTCCTCTGGCCGCCAGGCGGGGTTCCCCTCCGCACGAGCATAGCTCCCATCCCGAAATGGACTTCTTGGTTTCAGGCCCAGCTTCCGGCTGTGAGGGAGTGTACCAATTCCACCACTTTTGCTTTTTTTAGGAACCACCGAGAAAACCACCGACAGCGGCCATGATTTTTTGCTAGGCTTCCCAGGGCAACTCGCCGCCCGGAGCAAAAACGCCGGCGGTCAAGTTGGCTTGGGCCTGAGGAATAGCACAAGAAAATCCAACATGTAGCGCGAGCTCGCCGATGAGATCCGGCCCCGCCTCTGAGACAGGTACTGCCTTGGCCTCGCTGACTGACTGCAGCTGAGCCTAGCGACATTTGAAGCGCGCGGAAACGGAAGCTTTCTCGAAACGTGAGCTCTTGTTTTCTTCCATTAAAAAAAAACACAGTAGTGATAGATTCCCAAACCAACAGGGGAAAATCAACATATTCTTAAGCAACTGGAAGTTTTGGAGACAAATGCATTAAACATCGAGAGCCTTCGAGTTGGAGTGGGACATTTGCTGACTGGCTCATGGCTCGCATGCAAGCACTGCCACGTTGGCAAAACAGCAGCTTTTGACCAAACCACTGCCAGGATGCCATGCATTGGTACTTGGAATCCAAGCAAACCAATCAACATGTGCTTCCAACACAGCGTGCGCCCCTCTTTAAACAATAATAATATGCCTATGAGAAGTCTCAAAGCAGCCGTGTGGCTGCGGCAAATTATCACGCAAATTTAAGAGTGGCAACGGTCATTCGTGCATTCATGGCTTTCTCAGCAATGTCCGCTTGTCTCTCTGGAGCAGAGACACGTGCAATTATTGATGTCCAGAACATTCTGCAGAAGCCGCTTGTGATAGCACACATGCGATCACATCACCACAGCCGTGGAAACTGGGTACGGTCACCAAAGGGTCCAACCAAACATCAAGCCGGCATCCTCGGTTTGAGCAACAGACAGGAGACACACCATCTGCAACAACACATGCAACCCATGGTCCCACTTGGAATGTCTGTGCCATTGTCCATGTGGCAGTTTTTGCGAGGAACACACGCAAACTTTGCAACAAGCACACTGCAAACGGTAAGAGCAGACTGTCCAGCGGAGCTTGCTGACCGGATTCGTAGGGGCAGGGAAACTCAATGTTTTGCAATACCGAGTTGAAATCTGCCTAAGCAATGGATGGAGCCAGTGGTCTTTGCACAGAGGCCATCGGGAAAAATGACTTTTGTTCAGAGTTCCCAATGGCCAAACAGTGATGATGGTGATCTCGCAAGGCAAACCTACTAGTACTTAATGGCAAACAAGCGTAAGGTAGCGCTATCCTTCCAAGGCATGTGTTTGTCATTTCGCCTGACCAGATCAACACAGGTTGCCGATGCAGGGAAAGAATGGGGCATAAAAGGGAGAGTGAAGACAACATGTTCCACCCTCTGGTCCATATTTCTTTTGCTTTGGCCTACAGCAGTGGGTTGCAGCTCAAGCCAGCCGAGAGCGAAGCTTTGGCGCCATCAGCAGCCTAGCATCGAATCAAGGCGGTCCCCCAAAGGGCATCCCACACGGCGAAACGCGCAACCAGGCAGCCCAGGTGCAAGCAGTAGCATGCTGATTAGCAGTTGCAACATAAGTAAAGCTGCAAGCGATTGCCTCATTGTATATTGCAAGGCCATGTACTGGTGCTGTTAGCATGTCACGCAAGGTTCACGTGTCACTTTGTGCTGCTTTCAGTTCCAATGCTAGTAGAGAGCCACTGCGGCTGGGACGATTCTGCAATGTTGCTGTGATTCCAACAAACAAAGAAGGGATCCCTAGGTAAAGGATCCACAGTTTTGGCCCCCAAGCTCGCCATAAAGTAGACAAACCATTTCCGCAACGCATGGCAAGGATTGCCTAGCAGCTCGGTCGAGCGCATCTCGCCTGAATCAAAGGCTTCACGCACTCCTGGCCCGCTTGGCTGGAAAGGCCGACGTGTGAAGCGACTTGTTCCAGCTTTGCCTGCTTAATTGGAAATCCAGGGCGAAATCTGTAAGGCGTGTTTTTTTTTTCTCTGTAAGGCAACAAGGGCACTACTGGTTGCTCTCTTGAAACAAGTGGAGTCCAACCACAACGTCATGTCGTGCGCACGCTTGCCTTTGAGGACTCTTCTTTTGGGTACCATGCAAATGTACAGGAGGGAGTACATGCAAACAACAAGACTGTTGCGGGCCGAGCTACAAGCCTGACTTCGCGTGATTTGCTTGCACCCAATTCAAAAACACATGTGGCTCGTTTCCTTAACTTTTAGCAGGACACGTCACCCCCTCTAAACAAGATTAGGAGCGGGTGGCGCAGCCAAATATCAACCCGATCATACCAGCGTGGCTACTCTCTTCACTACATCACCAGCGTCGCAACACTTCTTCAATCCAACTACCCAGTCCAATCCCCTGGCAGCAAGGTGGCGCTTTCCGGGCAATGGCGCTGCAGGTTCCGACAGCAAGACGCAGGTGCTCCGTGCTGCATGGCGCAAATCCGTCTACTGCGGGCGCAAACACGCAGTGTAGCTTGCCAACTCCTTCGAGGGCGCACTGCGATCATGATGCCAATCTCACCCGCCGCCTGATCCTCCATTCTGCCCAACTCTCTGAAGTGGTGACTCTCACATGGGCTGTGGGTGAGGCTTTCAAGCAAGATGCGCGCGATACACCATTGCGCAAATGGGTCTACTGGCCGCAGCGAAACTGCGATTTCGAAGTTTGCGGCCAAGGTGGGTGTTGGAGGCAGGGTCCCGTCCGGACATCGTCAGCATGCTTGTATGCAGGAGTCAAGGCCCCTAAAAGTAGGTAGGGAATGACCGTCCGGATTCGGGAAGGAACTGGAAGGGGATTCTCTTTAAGGAAGCCAATGGCTTTTCTTGGGGTCGTTCCATTTCTCATTCCCTATCGAACCAGCAAGTGTACCATTCTTCCGGAAATTGGGCTGGAGGCGAACTAAACTTACTGGTTCTCAGGGAATGAACAATGGAATAACCCCAAGAACAACCATCGAACCCATGGGGACCTTCCATTTCTCATTCCCCGCCCATCGAAAAGCAGCAAAAAAGTGACTCTGCCCTCCACTTGGGTATGTCTTGAAAACTGGTTCCGGATCATTTTTCGCCGATCGAACCTTCACAGCCGCTTTTTGCGGGGGGGGGCCCGACGGCAGAAGCAGGTCTTGGGGCGCGGCTTTTGCGGTTTGGGGGGGGGGTGACCCAGTGACCCAGTGACCCAGTCGGCTCCTGGGAGAGTCCAATGAAGTCATCCAAATCCCCGAGCTTCACGCCGCCGCTAAAGGCCATGCCTGGCAACTCGTCCGCCGGCGAGCGCGTCGTCGGGTACGACGCCATGGTTTCAGCCGGCTGAAAAGGATGTCGTTGCATGGGGTTGCAACACATGGCGATGGAATTTTAAGGGTTGGAACCCCCTCAAGAGTGGTTGGTGGACATAACCCCCCACTTAAATGATGTCCACCAGGGCCCCCCAAAAAACACACACCCAAAAATAGGTGCAATGATGAAAACATGAACGTCCTTTGCAAGCTGCAAAGCCTGATTCTGTGGATAGACACAAGTCACTTCGGACCAGTTGGTAGGTGTTTTCTCCAGTGTTTTGTCCACCCACAGCAGCACCCATCAATGATGCATTCCCGAAGCGGCCAAACATCGACCCAGAAAGTCAGACCCACCTGATACGACACTCATAGTAGCGCAACATCTACGGCTTCCGTAGCTGTCCATGAACTACCAAATTCACCGATATTCGGAGAATACCAGCTGTTTGACCTTTAGGTCCAAGTCCGGCCCCTTTGAACCCAATGGATCTCACAAGTCATCAGATAGCCTGATGGCCGCAAGCAGCTGCTCGTTGCCTAAAGCTGCTGCAATGACCCGTGCCCGCACATATAAGCAGCACGGCTGGCTCGGACCCCGCTAGGTCAGCATGGGAACTTGTCATGGACGGAGCGAGTCAAGCAGGGAAGTGTGCCAACAACTTGAAGGCAACATCAAAAAGGACCAACCATTTTGCCAACCTTCTCAATTCAAAGCATGCAGGAATTCCCTCGAGCAACCCCGCGTTATGAACCAGGAAGTTAGACTTGTGTTGGTCAGACATAAAACAACAACTCTTCAACATCCAGCACCGCAGTGCGGTGCAAATTGAAGGTGCAACCAGAGACGCTTCGAGTCCTGCATGGCAAACAAGAATGATAAGAAGTCAGATTCGAGACTCCGTCCAAGTTGTTTCCAACCTAAGGTTGAGCAGCTACGATGGGCGCGCCTTGCACGTAGCTTGCAGTGCAGGGTCCATGCAGAAAATGGGCAGCAACGGATGTGGGTCATGTGTTGAATTCGTGGATGACTCCTTTGGAGCAAGTGATTCTCTCTGTCCGCCCAGAGTGGCGCAATCGAACATCAAGAACAAGTGCAGTTCCAAAGCACTTGGATGTATGTTCTCTTAAGTTTTTTCCTTTTCAGGTGTGCGTAAACGGACACCACCATGAAAATCACCATATTGGGATCGATCGGCCACATACGCCTCCCACGAGCCGCGACAAAACACCCACCTCACTGCATGACGGATGAAGGCGCGGACGGATGCAAAGCGCTGAGCCAAGAATCTGGCAGTCCATCGCACGAACTGACCCCTTTTTTTCGGCCCTTGGCCAAACAAAGAGGAAGCCCCGCCAAACAGGTCGAAACGAAAGGTTTCGACAGACTCGAAGTTTGTGGGCTGTTGGCAAAACGAAGCATGGCAGGGCCCAGTAGGCCAAGTCAGTGTAGTACAGCTGACGTGTGACGAACAGCAGGCACGTCAAGCAAGGGGGGTGCGCAAACAAACATGTGAGAATGTAGAATGCACCGCGCTGCTGTGCAATAGATAGACCTCGCCAGTGACTCAATCAGCATGATTCGATGCACTGACTGGTGCTTGAAGATGGTTTGCTCATTGGTGACGCTGACAGGAGATGTCACCATTGATGTCTTTCCTGTGCTATCAAAACTGAAGCCCTGCATACAAGAAGACCCTACTATTTCAATCAATCACCAGTTTGATGTACAGTCATGTGTCAATGTTGTCGCTGTCTGGTAATTCTAGGCTCATCCCCATCTGTTCCAAGCCAAGCCTCGCAACTTTTCCTCAACCCATGTCTTCTGGGTGTTCGGCAGGGTTCTGGGGAAAAAAAGATCCCTGGAAAGAATGGGGAAGCAGTTCTGCTCGAGTACTTATGCTCCCAATGAGACGCGATCAAGCCGTAAGCGACCAGCGAGCTTTCAATCGATGCCCAAGCGGCGTCGCTTGCACATGGCACGTTGCCACGAGAAACGGAGGCGAGGCACATGAACGATGAGTAAGTCAATCGCACCGTATGGCAGGATGCGCTTTTGTTACATGGCAAATGCGTTTGACCGTCATAGAACACCGACAACCATGATTGAACACCTTGCACTAAACCACTGGCCTTGGCAGTTGCCCGATCTCCGAACACAGGTCCGGCACAGGTGCCTTTTTTGGAAAATAGATGGCCTTGGTAGATGATGAAACCACCGGGTAAACAGGGCCTTCTATTTTTTAAGCAAACCAACCAAAAAGGACACCTATGATGTCCGGTGCTGCGCTCTAACTTGGCCTTCCTCTTCGGGCTCTCAGAAGAGGAAGAAGCTTCGCGTCTTTTCCTGCCGGTGGACTTGCCCAACCCGCAAGCCAAATTGCTCCTTTCAAAAGACAACGGCAGCTTCCTTAGCTCACTTCCTGAGTCGAGGGCCAAAAAAGAAGTCGAATCTTTCTATTTGCCACTAGAATGGTCTTCCCGGACAGTTTCAAGCTCAGGAACTCAGGGAGTAAGTTAGTTTCAGACATCCTGTCTGGCCTCAACACCAACCATTGAACACGGAGACAACAAACAAAGGCTTGGGAAGGGGAAGGTGATTAGAATCTTTGCCACGTCTTTTTATTGTGGTTGGCTTTTGAACAGCAATGCGGACAATCAACATCTAGGCACAAAAGTGATGATTGGAGTTGTGATTTCCCTCAAAGAGACAAGCTATCCCTGCCAGACTCCGCTGGGCGCACAGTTGACCAGGCTCCGAAGCATTGACCAAGCACACTGCGTGCATCTGCCATGCAATGGCTATGTCAATGTGTGTGTGGTCTGTCGGGCAAGCATTGCTAGATGCCCAGCCAAAAGCTCGAGAAGCCTCTGTCCGAACACCTGTGCAGATGAATCATTTCAAGTCCAGGGCACTAGGTCCAGTGGAGAGGTTAGAATAAGGGTATCCGATTATTTCTCTGTAGTCTATTCTAGTAGGGGAACCCTCCCAACCAAAAAAGGGGTGAAAAAGAAAGGGCACCTAGCTGGGGGACCTAGACTTTGATGAGAAGTTGCGAGCGGTCAAAACGGCCAAGGCGCAATGACAGGATCAGCATCGTATGCCTTGGTCCCGCCGGTAAACATCCCTCTGCCAGTTTCTTAGAGGCCGGTTCCGGCCTAGTCAACTCAACGCAATGTGCTCGCTGATCCAGTACAAAGAGCCAGCGCAGCTTGGCTTGCGATGCGCGAAGGACATTCTCAAATCAAGTTGGCAGGTGCTGCCTGTGGCAAGCAGCAGGATTCGGCAAGGCATGTTGTGCAACGTTCAGGAGAACGTGAAAGGACAGGACATGAGCCAAGACTCATTCATCAGGATGGGACTTTGATTCTAACACCAAGCGCCATAGCCCTGCGTTGCGTACGAGTGGAAGAGTGTCTTTAACCATGTCCTTACAAAACTGCTGGTAGCTCCTTAGCTCCCTCTTCAAAAGTGTGATTCGGGCACGAGCCTGTGCCCAGGCAATGGGTAAGTTGGGGTAAACAAGCCACAAAAGAAAGGTTCCCCAAAAGCAAACCAATCCCCGGTCCCAAAGATCAGGGTTTCCCACACACCAGAGAACAACAACCAAAAGGAAACAAACCAAACAAGAAAAGGGTTAACCCGCAACCTTGGTCGACAACAGGCCGCACGACTGGTCCCTACCAACCTGGCGGCGGCCCGAGGTCTCTTTCTCCCCCGAGATGCCGTCGGTCGACGCAGGGGTTCGGCGACGCCCATTCGAGGCGCGACGGAACCCAAAACTTGAGCCAAACACCACAGGTCAGTCACTACCGCGACATCCCTGGTGATGTAATAAACCATGGCTAATCACACCCCCCTCACGAGGAGCCCGTCATATGACGGGTGGAGCGTGCCATTTACTGATAGGATTTAACTGCTCGCATACATCCGCAAACAGCTGGACACTACCGCCGTCAGCGGTGGAGCAAACCCACAAAGGCAGTCGCGCGACATCCCGGGCATTAAATTCCCGCCACCACCCCGAATTAATCGGGGTAACGCTGTCCAACATACCTTGTGGAAAAGTCCACATGACGACAATAGGTCACAACTGTTTGCATCAGAAATGCAAGAAGTTTAATTCTTATCAGAAGCCATGAAATAAAAGATAACGTATGTCCATTAGTACCCTCGCCTAACGGCAAGAGGTACTCTTGACCATGCGTACCTGAAAAATGCCTGAATTCCGCAAACCCGGGAGTAACCCCCCATCAGTTTGCTTTCCCTCTCACTCACACTGCTTCCGGATGAGCACGTCCAGCAGCTCAGCAGCGGTACGGGAGAGACATGACCTCCGCGCCTCAGCGGTCCGGGAGGAACATCACCACCTCCGCACCGCGCTGACCGTTGGAGAACGGACGCAAGCCTATCGGCCGCAATCCTCGTGACTCAGCCTACCGGCTATCGTCACGTCTCCTCCGGTCACGTCCGCCCCGCGCACGGTCCCTATCACGATCCCTTTCGGATCTCCTGCGATCATCTCGCCTTCGATCCCGCTCCCGATCGAGTGAATCATCATCACGACGATCACGAGCATCGTCCCTCCTCCTGTCGCGATCATCCTCGCGCCGCGGACGATATCTGCGCCTCCTCGACTCTCTGGAATCCCTGGTGTCCACGGTCCTAACGGACCTCCGAGAAGGAGTACGGGAAACATCCGACTCCCTACGCCTCCTCCCAGATTGAGAGTTCGTCACGATCTGGTTGAGAGCTTCCAGTGCCGACGCGTCCTCACCATTTCTGATGAAATCCCTAACCTGTTTGTTCAGCACTCTGTTGGTGGAGATCGTCAAGAAAGCGTCCACCACCGAACTCTCAGGCAGCACCAGGAAGTGACCCTCCACCGGGCTCGCCGCGGCCCGCTCAGCAGACTGCAGCCGGATCTCCCCGCCTTCAGGCTTCTTTGCCATCGCCTTGGAGGCAGTCAAAGGCGCTACCGCATCCTTTGCCGAAGATCTGCCAAGCGCGGAGTGAAGATCATCCCCGCTAGCTTCTCTCGCTGCCGCACCCGGTCTGCTGTCGACATCGCCAGGCCTCGTGGATGCCTCCCGCTTTGTCGACTCCTTCGCAGCCTCATCGGGATCCCAACGGGACTTCCTTTCTCTCTTCTGCCCTTCGGCCGACCCGCGGCTACCGCCGGGAGCGTCACCTCCGCCTGTCTTCTCCTTCTTGACCTCAACCTTCGGTTCGGCCTGCTTCGTCTCCTTAGCCACAGCTTTTGGAGCCGGAGCACTCCTCGCCTCAGATGCCGAAGCAGCCTTCCCTTTCGGCTCTGCCTTAGGGACTGGGGTCACTTTAGCCTTGGCACTCGGCCTGGCCCCTTCAACCACCATCTCGGCCCAAGACTTCTTCGGCTGAGCTGCTGCTGCATCAACCTCCATCGGAGCAGGTCCAGCGTCATCCTTCGCCTTCGGGACGGATGGGCTACCGCCCTTACCGGATCCTTTACCCGGCACTTCACCTTGGCGGCGGGCCGGAAGGACTACCGCCCTTACCGCCCTTTTCCCCCTTCTTCCCTTTTCCTTTTCCGCCCTTGGGGACCGGTTCCTGCTTGGGACCAGGACCCGGCGCAGCATGATGCACTGATTGGAGTCCCTCGATGTCCACGTTCAATGGTTCGGGTTGACGACCGTCAAGAACCGTCCTCACCCTTTCGTCGCTAACGTAGACGAATGGGTCACGGAATGGTGCGGGAGGCTCTGACTGTCCGGCACTGATCGCCTTCTGCACCTTGGCTATCGCCTCCTTCAACCTCTTCTTCTCATCATACCCTGTCTCCGATACCATGTACCCCCTGAGCTGCGACATCAACGCATGACTCTCCAGGATGTCCACGTCCTTTCGATGGGTCGGGTACAATGGGGTCAGATGACCAGCCGCAGAACCAATCACGTATGCCATCGGAATATAGAATGACAAGTACGTGTCATGACGAGCGAACTTCCTAACGGAAGTCGTCATACGCCTACCCCACTGAGCAGCGTGTCTTGGGTTGGCCCGGAAGTACTCCGTGACCGACTCAAATCTATCGACTTGGTTGGTCTTGATCAGGTGCTTCGCCACCCACTTCTCCACAAACGCATCCGAGGCCGAAATCCCGGACACATAGGAGAATTGGAAGAGCACCTTCGCCAGCTCATCCCACGCCGCATCGACACCTCCCTTGTCTTCACCAAGATAAGGGGGAAGTCTGATGCCGCTCTGCACCGTCATCCTTAGATCGGATGCCATTGAATAGGAAATCAAATTCCTCTTGATGACTCCGACCACTTCGGAGGGAATCCTCCTGGGCTTGAACTGCCCCATGGTCCTCACCCACTCCGGCACGATGTGGCACGTTTCGAAGTCCTTTTCCTCCGCGTTGGGGATAAAGTTCGGGTAAAAGACCGGGAGCGCGCACCCGGGACACAAGTGCATCCCATTCGGCATCAATTCTGCGCACCTCAAGCAGAACGTGGCAGTCACATTCAGCCTGATCTCTTCCCGTGATCGCCTGTGCTCTCCCCTAACGGGGGTGAAGTCACCGTAGTCCCATGCCCGATGGTACACTATCGTGTAATCATCGTACATATACGCCGCCTTCCAAGCCCCCATGTGGATCTCGTTCCTAACGGCAAGAGTCTTCCTTCTCGTCAAAAACACGGGTCCAACCAAGGACCAGTGCACCCGAAGATCCACCATTACCACCACGTACCTACCGGAGTAGTTCCGCAGCCTGTCCCTGACATACCACGAAGGCGATACCTCAGCATCCGGCGCCATGGCTCCCACAAGTGGGATCAGGCCCTCATCCTGCCTACCATCCCCAATGGTCTCGTACACATCGGGCCTCGTGATCAATATCTCGATCATGGCCTTTCCATTTCGCCTCACCCTTTGGAGCTGAACCGCCTTCCGAAAGTCCGAGAACTTCATGATGACGTATCCCACCATGGGGAGTTCATTCCAATGCATCTCATACATCAGAGATCCGCCAGGTGCATCTTCCTGAGTATACCTGTGCCTAACGGCACTGTAACTCAAGTCGCGTCCGATCCGCGTGTGCCTAACGGCAACCAACCTGGTGCTCTCCTTGAGGAGAACGCCATCCCCGTCGTACATGACCATGAGCATTGCCTCCACTTGCCCTATCGGGAAAGCTTTAAGCGTCGGAATGAAGAACTTCCAAGACATCTCAGCGTTCTCCATACCCGAAATCTCCTTCAGGAACCAGATGGCCTGGTCACTTTTCACCCAGTTTCCAGCCTCGCGTCCGGTCTCCTTCAGCACACGTTCCTCGAATAACTCCGAGACCCTCTTTGAATTGATGACCAAGCCGTCGAAATCGCACGAGAGCAGTCTCATCAACTCCTTTGCCGCCTCCCGTCCTGCAACAGTGCCCACGGTCTCCTCGTAGTTCGGGAGGTATTCACCCAACCTCGTCTTCGAGGGAACCACAATCTGGCAAGTGACGGCCTCATCAGGGATAACTCCCGTTTCCCTTAGCTCCGGATTGATCTCTCGCCTATCGGCAAGATAATCCTCCTTCCCATCCAGTATCACAAGATTGTAGGTCATCTTGCTCGCCGCCCCACTAGGCCTGAATTTCCTGCTATCATCCAGCTGGTCAGGAGCAAAGGGTCCACTAGGGGCAGCTGCACTCACCAGAGGCGCTCCTCGCCCAGAGCAGAGGTGCTTCTTGTGGAAGTTCACCATCTGATTCAGCTGCGATAGTGCGTAGGCACGATCCTCCAATGACGCACTCTTCATCCCAGCCTCAGTCAGAGGAGCCTCAGGCTTGTCATAACTCGCCTTACCGCCCCATCTCGCCGCGACCAGCTCAGCAGACTTCGCAGGGTCGATCAAATTCCCCGACCATCCAGGCATATTGCTCAACCTCCTAGTCAACGCGTCTACCGACGCAGCCAAGTCTTCGTCCGTCACGGTGTAAGGGTCGACATTCTCCCTGTCGTCCTGACCCACATCCGGAAGCCTATAGTCCCCGCGGATGGCCTCCATCGCGGTCCTCTCGGCTTCCTCAGCCTCCTCTTGCGTGGCCACAGCTCTAGGAATCAGGAGCGCG